CCCATTCAAATAAATGGGAAGGTAGTTCATTGCAAGGCTGAATTTGACGTTTCATTGCTTTTGATGATACTTTGATTTGCATCATGACCATAGCCAATGTGCTCCCTTAGACAAAAGCAGAACTAAATTATTTCACCCCCTTGTTCTCACCTTCATTTTGTGTTAAAATTTTGGGAGGGTGAAACATAATTCCATTCATCAGCTTGGATCTCTTAGCATTTTATGGTGCCAGCCTCATGCAATCAGCAGATGCTGAGAATCAGTCTCTACTTTTATGCAGATGTATATGTGGGGCAGATGGAGGAACCCAGAAACAACTGGACTTCTCACCTGTGTGTCTGTTCCCATGTATAGAGGTTGGGGATTGGACCCAGCAGGTGCTGTCCTGCTCTTGCTAAAGCTGAAAAGGGCTTAGTACTGGATCACATGGGTTTGACCTGCTGTGTGTTGCAAAGGCAGCACTGGTGTGGTACAAATGCAGGGGGAAACAACCAGATCCCCCAAAGCATATTTGGACCAAAAGAGGGTCTGAAAAGTTCAAGGTGACGTATTTTAAAATGATCTAACTTCAAAACTAGGTAAAGAATCACCCCTGGTATCTTAATGTCTCCGTGTACTGTGCTTCACTCTAAAATGATAGCTGACATCTTAAATTTACTCCTTTTCACTGGTGCCCTATTGCCATAATTTGATTTCCCCACTATTTTTCAGTCTGTGCATGCTTTCCATTATTTTTGGGATACTAGTTTTCTTCTGGAGTTTTAATCTTTAACCACTTCTGTGTATTGGCCTGTGTAATTTCCTCTAGGCTAAGGTCCCCTTATATCAGAACATTCTTACAAATCTTAAAATTTAGTAGCCCATAATATTTTACCAGGCTGGTTGCTGAGACAACTGATATGCATTTAATGATATTAAGGATGGAAGAAGAGAAGTGGGTCTCTGTCTGTTTACAAATGCTTCCTTACCTGATTACCTGGGAATATTTTATGCTGCATTAACAGCCGAGTGAGTGGTTTTATGTGAGCTAAATTAAAACCCTTCTCCTGAATATTGGTAAATAGGATTACAAAATTACCCTTTTTTCTGCTAAAATTCAAATATGGGATATGATCTTGGTAGCCATCTTTGGGGTGCATGGTTCTTGATACAAAGCAGAATTCAAATCTATTACTGAATTCTATCAGGAGCTCTGCATTGTCCTTTCTGTTGAGTTCCTTTTCTATAGGAAAGCATTTTGTCTAAAAGCACATCTGTTTGAAAGCACTCTGGGACAATGCAACTCTACTGTAGCATCCTAGTGCTTTGTAATTGAGGTGCATACTGCAGTTTCATATTAAACTCAACTATATTTAAGGTTCCTGCAGGGTAGCTGGCTAAACTAGAAAGTTTTCTATTATTGTTCATCCTAAATTGAAAAGTACTCTAACTGGACACACAGATGAGCTTACAATTATTCCCTGGCTGAACTACATTAATAGTATATCACTTTTGCCAGTGAGCATTTTATTCCCAGTACACTAATGGTGCAGTTTTATGCATCTCTATACAACTTAACTCCTATTGAGTTCATTTGGAATTACTTCCAGTTAGATGTGCAGGCCTGCAACCCCAGATTGCAAGGTAGTAGGGAGTATTACTTACTGGTCTCACTGGGACTTTTGTGTAAACATACTTAATTAGAACTGGTTTATAATGCACAACTAATTTAGCATAACATTGTTGAAGTTGCAAATTAAAATTTGTTTAGTCTTTGGAAAAGCATCTTTTTGCTGATTCATATACAGTTGGCTATTGTCCTGTTTCTGGGTGGCTTTATAACCTTTGCACAACCAACTACTTTGTATAGAGAATGGTAGTTCAGACATCTGTTGCTTTTATCTGTTTAGGGCTTGGTCTGTTTCCAGGGTTTTTTTCCCCCTGCTAGCAATGTGCGGTCCAGTGTGTCTGGAAAAAAATGAACCTTTGAGAACCTTTTGCTGCTATCAAAATATTTATACCCCAAGGCATTTTCCCCATAAACTTTTTTCCTCCAGCAAATTGTCTTGTTGTGTGTACTTTCGTAAGAGAGTTTGTACAGTATTTTGGGGGTGGGGGGAACAGAAACAGCACAAACAATACTGGGGGGGGGTTGGTTTTTTTTTAAAGATTAGCTGAAAACCCTCTACTTCATTTCAGCTGTCTCCTTAATTCCATATGCCACTATGCTAGAGCTGAAATCCTCCAGGCATGAGGGCTGCGCAACTTCCATTAATTTCAGATGACTGTTCAGAATTCTGGCCCAAGCGGTGTTGATATGGGTGAAGGTTGCAGGGCTGGCTGTAGTGCCTAACACCCTCTAATCTCCAGCTGCTTGCTTCCCCCCACCCCACATCACCCCACATCATCATTTCTGTAACACAGGATTTCTATCAACAGCTGAACCTCTGAAGATCCCCAGCTGCTGCTGTTCAGGAGGAGGTGAATATATATGTATGTATTGTAAAATGTCATTGTGTGTTGGTTTTTATTTTTAAAACCCCTCTTTGCCTCTTCAAATTTTATCTCCTGGAGCTCTTGATTTGGTACAAGTGGTCATTTTTTTTCTTGAGTCTGTGTTTAATTTGTAATGCTGGCGCTTTTTGGTGTACTGTACAGAAATGGTCAGTCTCCTTGTAATTATTGTATAAAATGCTTTTATTATAGAGCTTTTATTTTAACAAATGAGCAGAAACTGCCTTTTGTGTATTTGCTGCACCTTTTAAAAAAGACTGTTACATATTAAAATATTGTATATACAAAAGTATTATATACCTCTTATGTACAGATGTGATAGACAATTTATTTTTGTGCTTTTTTTTTTTTTTTTTACAAAACATTAATACACTAAAGTCTTGCTGATGTGATTTAACGTACTCATGTAACTTATTTACTTCTGGATGTTCCATTGTATCTTTTTAAACCTTTTATTAAATAAGGTTTAAAAGCAACTTTTGTAATAAGATTTTTAATTGAAAAATTTGAGATAAAGAGGGTGGAAACACTTTTTTCTTGTTTACTATGGTGCTTTTTTCTTTTGGCATAATTAAATACAATCTATGTGCTGCAAAAAGTGTGTGTTGCTTTCCTGCCAGTTATTTTGATTCAGTTACATGACTATTGCTTTGTTGTCAAGCCTCCTGTGATCTTGTAGGATGAGCCCTTCATGGAAGCACGTTTCCATTTATGGATAGTCTACTGTGCATGAAAAAGAGTGTATGTCAAGATGAAAAAAGCCCTGTTTTGTATCTTTGGTTGCATGCAATGATCCAGGTAGCTATCGTCCATTTGTGCACCTGTCAAACAGCACAATAAGCTTTGCCAACACATACTGTACATCTGTAAGCTGATACGCTGTCAAAATTGACTGTATTAGTTATCTGTTATGAGTGTGAAGTTCCTGCTGCTTGTACATGTTTATGATCAGGGCCTTTTTAAATTAAATTTGTTCATGAGTACACAAACCATTTCCCTCATTTTAGGGAAGTGTGTTGGTGTTGAACTTTAGGAAGGACTGGGCAACTTGTACCAGAGGATGTGTTGCTCAAAGCGGCCATAATGTCTAGCAGATTTGGAAACCTAAAAGGGGCAGACTGTTCCATGGAAGCATTATGGATGACATACTAGGCTCCAAAACTAGAGCTAGTACTAGTACTAGAAGCATATTATTGTCCCCCAGGCCAGAATCTTCAAGGTGATCTTGAGATGGAAAATAAATCATAGAATTCGTATAGGATTGGTGTTCCTTGCAAGTTGTCTCAGGGTATGTACCTTCTGGTACTGACTACAGTACTTAAATTTTCTTTGACTGGCTAGGATGTTTCACTGTACACTCATGGTCTATTTCCTCCCTATCTCCATTAATCACAAAAAAATTCATATTCATCCCCTAGGGATGATTCAACACTGAAATCTTTCCAGCTCTTGCTGAGCTTTCCCCAAGGTTCAAGTGTAAAAGATGCTCTGCTGCCCTTTATTTTACATACTCGTTTGTTCTGCAGCTGTGGAGCAGACAAAGCTTTAGTAAAAGTTGCCCCTTGAAGACTAGACTGTACATTATAGTGGGAAATGTGTGTTCTCAGAACTTTATTTGTAGAGAATAAGGCAACTTATGTCCAAGTTTCCTTCCAATGCTATGATCATGTTTTTGCTTACCCTGCTCCCATATCTTGCAAGTCAATTTAGTAGGTGAAGCTTTTCTCAAAGCTTAACTCACCTGAGTCAAGCAAAGTAGCCTTGATGTTTGCATAGCTCAGCTTGCAACCAAATTATTTCTCTTAGTGAAATGGAAGAGCAACTCTGCTTAATTTAAAACAAAACATTCCTCAAGTATGCTAAATTCTGCTAAAATATAACATGAATAGCTACTTCAGCTGTGAGCTGTACCAGAAGTCCTTAAAACAGCTGATAAGTAATAGAACAGGTGCTTCTCTATTGAATTATGATGAACATACTGTAAATCAGAGTAGAACCTATTACTAGGATTAATCTTAACATTTCATAGCTTGATTTGTTCTATGTAATTTTATCTTGCCTCTTGATCTGGCAGCTGTTTGAACAAGTTCCACTAAAGGAAAATAGCCAATATTGAATGCTAAAATAGAATGCTAAAAAGGAAAATAGCCAATATTGAATGCTAAAAAGGAACAGCAAGGGTTTGATTCAGAAAAGATTTAAGTGGAATGCTGCTCGTACAATGGGATGGCCAGCCTGTCCAGAGGTCTCTCTCAAGAGTGGACATACCCTCTAGAACAGTGCAGAATAGGCTATGATCTAACCATGAAAACCTCACAGAAGTGCGATAGCTAATTTTGTAGAAGTTTTGCTTTCTCACTGGCCCAGGACTTGTCTGGGTCCAACCACCTGTGCTTATTGGCTGCAGGGACACTCTGGATTGAATTCCTTGTTACATACATTTATTCTGTCCACTTCCTCCCTAACTTTAGGCTTACTACTAAACATTCACTAGTACACAACAACAATTTTCTTTGTATAAAACATTTATTACTATTTTGAACAGGTTTCACAAAGCAACAGATCTAAATAACATCACATAAAGTTTGACATGTGATAATACTACAAAATCATACACTTATTAAAAATAAAAAATCACCAGTAGGATTTAGCTTGTTTTAATCTTCTAAAGTGGAGACAAAGTAGTCCACAAATGAGAGCTGCCTACTTTAAATGTCATTTGACATCTTCATATAAATTATGTACAGTAGCAAGTTGCAGTTAGATATGCTGGAAAGCAACTGAACTCTCCATTTGTTTTCAATATATTTCAAATTTAGTAAACTTTACTAAGATTAACATAAACCACCTTAGTTCCCATGGGGGCAGCAGGATTTAAGATGTCTTGAAGGCTTTCACATGGGTGTTCTTTTCATCCATGATCAAGAGAATAGGCTAAATAATCTCAAGGGATATGGAAAAACTACATAGCTCCATGTTAGAGCAATGAAGAAGCCCTTTCAGTTGCTTGTGCCACCATTTTTCTCTGTCCAACAACACAGCAGCTGCTGTTTGCTTGCTTTCTACCAACATCCAGTGCATAATTTTAAAGTGCAAATCGCGTTTTTCAACATTTTTGTCACTTGGCTTTCTGATTAGTTCCACAATAGTACATGCAATCAATTCAGCAAGGCAAAACATGGCAGCTCTTTTTTGATCTCATGTTTTATGCAAAGTTTTCATCAAGTGACCTCATTTGGCCAAGAGTCCTATAATCTAATACCCTTGGGATGATTTGACAAAGATATCAAATCCACCTGATCCTAGCTAGTGCCTAGTCAGAAGGGATTTTAAATTCCTAATTCTACCTGTTAGATACGAATGTCACTACCCTCTGCTGAGGGATGTACTGCTAATGCTGCTCAGACATCCACAAAACTGCACAATGTATTCAGGGTGCTCATCAGAGAAAGCTATTCCAGCTATCAAAGGTTGCTTGTGCAACCTCAGCAAAACTCAGAGAGTGCTTTGTGATTTCTGAACATGGACACTATGGCCAGGGGGCAGGGGGATACAATGCACCATTAATTTAACAAGTATAGGTTAACTGTCAGTTCTTTAACCTAGCATTAAGCCATAGTGTTTGGATTCAGGCACCATGACACAACCTTCATTTGGAGGCCGCAACTGCAAAACGGTGGTGGCATCAACCAGGGGGAAACTTTGGTTAACTCACAAAATGGGGACACATGCCATGTTGCCTGTATGTTCATTCATCTATCTTCCACTCAATATTCTGGGAAATAACTGCAGATCACATACTGTGGAAACATGACATGCTGTTGAACAGCATCCCATACAGCCTGTGTTGCAGCAGAACTCATCACTAATGCAATGGAAAACTAGCTGTTCCTAAAGCAATTGGAAACAAGCCAGAACACACATTTCTAGAATGGAGTGGGTCAGCAGAGCTCAGAGAAGGAAGTTCTGCTGACTTGTCTTGCTCCAGAAACAGCAAACTCATTTCCTGGGTTGCACTTTGAAAAAGCTTTAGCAGTGAGTTCTGCAGGCATGAATGACCCAGTGGAGGCTCAAGTGGTAGCACTCAATAATGCCCATGAGGATCAAATCTTTTCTTGAAATGTGTGCACAGCCCTAAGGAAGCCAGGAAACATATGGGAAAGCTTGTGCTGGTTATGTAACAAAAATAATAGAACATTTTTTTCTCTACCTGTTCTATACATGTTCCTGACAGCTTCCCTTTACAGAGAAAGTTGTACAGCCTTTGACATAAGGCTGGAAAACTTCAGAAAGACAGAATACAGAGGTGGTTGACTAGCTGTCTTTTCCCTGTGGTACAAATCTTTATATGAGGATCATTAAACCTGCTCACTTTCCTCTCCATCCTCATCATACCAACACACAAGAAATTTCAATACCTAATGAAAAGCAACCAGTTGTGCACATTTATTAGATGGCTTAGGAAAAAAGTATTTCCACAATGGTAGCTTTTACTTGTACTTATTTGCATCACTACGTATTGTGATTTTCATTGTGTACAGCATTCTGAAGGAGTATTTCATATACTAATTTTGACACCCTCCACTTATAAAATGCCTGCACCTTTTTAAACTGTTCCTTAGCTTAGAGAATCATCTTTACCTTACCTGCCTCTCTTTCTTCATTGTCACATTCTTAATTTTTTATTGCTGAATTTGCACCATTGCAAATACACATCTATTCGTCAGATGTCTTGCTAACTTCTGACATTCTTCTTTTAGCAGTAATGAATCCTGGCAAAATCCTTTTAATTCTCTATTACCTCTTCTAATATATGGCACTAAATGAATGGAGATTTGTAAATTTTAAAACAAAAGCATTTGTGCCCACAATTCTGGAAGGAAGAATGTGGAATGTGGAAAAGCATTTTGATTAGTACTGAGAAAAAACTGATATAAGATGCAATGGATCTTGTGATTTATATGCACCAATTTAAGCTATTATTCCATGATAACATGTTTACTAGATATAACAAAATAAACACAAATGTTGCAAATATCTTAATATAATCAACCAATTTCTCATCTAACAGAACTGGCCAAAAACTTCTGTAACTTTGACAGTGTTGCAAGCCAGAAAAAATTCCTTGAAGTTATATAAAATAATGTGGACTACTTTGGATTTCTATTTTTCCCCTTTCTTCAACCCCCTTGCTTTTCATTAAATCTGTTATGATAAAATAGATGGTAGAAGGACAAAAATAACAGACCAGATGCAGACAGCTGGACAGTATGGACATCAAGATAGTTACAGAGGGATAGCCATTTTGTTAAGTTGTAGATAATGTAAGATTTGGGGTAGGATTAGGGGGAAGTAAGACAAGCAAATATAAGGAGCAAATGGATCTGCTTTTTAATTAGCAATTGGTTTTTTTTAAGTGTTGATGATAAATTTGCTTAAAGCAACACATTCTTAAACTCCTAAGAACAGCTGCTGTTTCTTGTAGATTAGCTGTCCAGCACCTTATTGTTGGTTTGCCTCAACCCACAGTTGTTCATAGAAAAGTTTCTTATAGCATTTAGACAGAAGTTAAAGCAAACATTGTTTTCGGAACAATCTTGTCTCCACTAGGGCAGTACTATTACAGTCCCTATTGGCTTGAGCAAGAGCATATGATTCAGAAACAGTAAAGCACTATCCAAGTATTACCCCTTATCCAAAATGTGCTGCATCTCACTTTTTGAGTATATTTATGCACAAGTGGCAATGCATGCAAGCAGTAACTCTGAACCTCCAGAGTGACAGAACTCAGTTGAAAGGATCACTTGCCACAAGATTTCATATTGGCTACTTAGAATACCACATCCCCAGCAAAGCTAGAATCACATCAGCCAGAGTGCATCAAACAGTATTTAAACTGTGAAAATAAATTCACAGAAGTTACTAGTCCATACATTTTACTAACCTTAGTCATTTGTGGCATGTGGTAAATTGAAAGGAAAATAAGGAGCTGATTAGCTTTTCATTGACAAAAGTTTTCATACCTGATTGCTTTCAAGATAACCTATGAAACCAAAAATAGCAAAGCAAAAATTGGAAGTTGTCTTATACACCCAACTTATGACAAACACAAGAAAAACAGTCCAATATATTAACCTCAGATATATGAGAGTCATTTTATACACTAGTATATATGGGTAATTGTTACTTGTCACCAGCAACCTGGCATTTACCTTTTACAGGTCTGCCAGACCCCTTGCCATTTCTGAACCTCAAGAGGGTACCAACTATGCTCACAGCAAGGTATTATGCAGAAATAGCCTCCATTAGCCCATCTAATTCTCCTGCCTCCTCAACTGCAGAAGCAAAATTTTCATTCAAACATGAACAAGGAGAAGCAGCAGGCAAATGAGCTATTGCAGCACATGGGCAGGAAAGACCATTTCCATGTCATGCTTTATTGTTTCCAAGCAATTAAAGAAAAAAGTACCAGGTCACCCATTCACAGAAGACTAAATAGTTCATTGACTACTAACAATGAAATTCTGCTCGTGTTTCTTAGAAATAAGTTCCATTTTACTGAATGGGACTGCATCCCTTGTAAGTGTGCTTAGGACTGCAACCAAAATTGGTACATAGACAAAAGGTTACAATAAGTAACGCTTGGGAAAATTATGCCACACATTAAGCCTGATCTGTGAATATAGGGGGGTTCTTTTAGATAACTTAAATGCTTATATTTACATAAATAATTAGCATAAAATACAAATATATGCTATAGAAGTAAAAATGTAAGTTTCTTGGAAAATCATATCAGTGGCACATCTATATTGCAATTGTAGGGGCAATAACTTATTCCTAATATTTATTTTTACATTTCAAATATCACAACAGAATATCACAATAGTAAAAAGACAAATTCCATCACAGCACTAGTAAATTCTAGATAGAGAACCTGAAAGGGGATTGCTCATTGCAGGAACGAATCCAAATCTAGAGGTTCTCACCTTAAAAGAATGATGAATTGCAGGTATCCTATTTGCTTAATTACAGTAGAATAAGCAAAAACTAATATCTAATTAAAAACAGATTTGGGGGAGTGTGGTAGAGTACCATACAGTAATCAGATGCTATACAGCTACCATATTTTAAAGCAGCATCCAAGTTTGCCTCCACAGAAGCAAAAAGGGTAAAACTGAGACTGTTGAATGTTGGGCACATTATGAAAAGGCAGAACTCCCTGAAGAAGACAATCATGCTAGGGAAAGTAGAAGACAGAAGAAAAGGAAGACCAATATGGGCTGGACTGACTCCAGAGAAATTACAGACTTGCATTTGGAAGCACTGAGCAGGTCTGTCATGGATAGGGCATTTTGGAGAGCTTTCACTCATAGGGTTACCATAAGTTGGAGATGATTTGATGTACATAACAATGGTACCCAAAGGCTAAAGTACACATGTCAAGGGATTACATAAAAAATAACTATGTAAAACAAAATACACTGGCAGTGCAATGCACCACATGCCTGCTCACAGCTAAGTTCCACTGTGTTCAGTGGTACTTAACTGCTAAATAAATGTTCATAGAACTGCATCCTTATGGGGCACTGCTGGCTGGAGCAAGCTGGAAGCTGCAGAACCTTTTCTTTCTAAATATGCACAGGATTGTGTCTTTAACCATTTTGTTTTTAATGCTTCTGTATCAAATGTTAACAATGAAACTGATTGTCAGAGCCAAAATCATCAAGTAGAAAAAACTAACTGCTGCAAGCCATAACAGATTAATTGGCATTGTCAGCAAACAGCAACACCTGATTTCAATCTTTTCCATCTTCTAGAAATGACTTAAAAGGTCCAATAGTATAAATAAAAGACCTAATGAGACAGGGGATAGGGAAAAAGAATTTAGGCTTTTTCTATTTCATCTAAAAATAAACTGCATGATTCTCACTCCCTTTCCCTTCTTTCTTTCCTGTACTTTCTTCAGCTGTCATTTACCAGCAATTGAACCCTGGAACTTGAGTATTTTCTAAAAGCTGCATGTTTTAGGCCTCTTTAGACAGCTGCTGACCCTCCTTAAATTACTCAAATTCCAGAGTGATGAAGGGCTTTGCCCTTCAATAATATTCACATCCATAGCACAAATTGTTCAGTTTGAGAATCTTTTGTTCCTTAAGCCAAAGCATGTAAAGGAAAACTCAACTAGCACAGCAAATCAAATGGATGTTTAGAAGTGTTTCATCTTCAACAAATATATTACATTTACTCTTTCATTTTACACTGTATATAAAAATAGTAAGTGGGTCCCAAAATTTTAAAGTTTAAGGTTCCAGTGAAGCTTAATATAGTAAGTTCTGGACCTTCAGTTTAGCAACATTTTTGTTTTAGATCCATGCTGTAGACTTCATTTCTTAACAGACAAAACCAACATTGTTATCAGTGACTACATGGCTATAATTAGCATAGCAGATGGGAAGAAAAAGATGAGACTGTGACAAACATTTAAGCATATCATGTTTCAAGTCCTCTTTTTATGAAGGAAATGCTTAAAGAAGCACATGGTATACAGATTCTTAATAAAAATTGTTGTTCCTCTGTCCTTCATTTTTAAATGGTAAAAAAAATCTGCAAACAAGTGCTTTAAGCAAGTGTGGTCATAACTAGGAATATAGAACAGTAAGATTGTTTAAAAGTCAGTATGCACTTATAAAATTCACATGTTAAATTAAACAGTAACTTTCCACAGTAAAAATGAAAACAAAAAGGAATACAGTTGCTTCACATGATTGGCACCCCCAGTTTTGGTAAATAACTCTTTGGGAAAGAAAGAACACAGAGATGAGTCAGTTAAAAATGTTGCCCAAGATTTTCTTCAAAGATGTATTTATAAAAAAGCTTCATGTACTGTATAGTGCTGGAGATAATTTAATGGAAAAAGAAGAAAAGGCCATGCTAGTTTTCTCCTTCTTCACCTTCTTCCTGCTTAATAACTGGAATACCTAAAAATTAAAGGGAAGAAAGATGCAGGTTTTTTTAGCAAGAAAAATAGTACAAATACTAGAGCTCACAACTCTAAAACTCACTGTGGATTTATCAAAATGCCTGTGAGTAAATGGATTGACTAACGTACAGCAGCACAAATGAGTAGGACAAGGTAGAAAAATGCAGGAAAGACATAATTTGAGTCTAATAAGAAAGTCTAAAACATGTCATCAGTGTCTAACGATGATTCCAGCATGCTAAATTAACCTCTTCCCTTTTCCAGTGTTGACTGCAAACCACTCCAGCAGCCCTGAAGAAGTTTCATCCCAATGCTCTACAGACAATAAATAGGAAGAACAAGGTCTAATATTTTATGCTGAGGCTACCCAGAATTTATGGACCATGGCCTGATTCCAGTATTTTAATTTCAAATGCAAATATCAGATCCGAACAAAGGAATGCACACAAGAGCCAATGTGGTGTAGAGGTTAGAATATTGGACTGGGATTCCTGTTCTAGTCCTCACTCAGCCTTTGGAACTGTCACTGACTCTCAGCCTAAACTACTCCAAAGGTCTGTTTTGAGGATAAAATAGAGATGAAAATGCCCAAGAATGTCTGCTTGGGCCTTGGAGGAACACAGAGATTTAAGTATGCCAAATAAATAAACATGTACAAATATACATATGCATAGATACAGAGAATATAATTGTTCATGGTAGTGTCTTAATTTCTGGCTTCTAATAAAGACTGACAATGGATAAATTGGGTTGCACAGCAAAGTTCATATTATAACTTTGGCATAGTGCTGGAGATGAAGCATGGTAATTAAGAGTACTGGACTGGCACTCAGGAGATCTGGGTTCTGGTCCCCAATCAGACATGAACTTATTCTCAGCTTACCCTAGTACACTGCGTTTTTATTGTTGTGAGGATAAGATAGAATGCGGGGGGTGGGGGGGAGTATGTAAGCTGCCTTGAGGTCTTTGCAAGAAGAAGAAGAAGGTGGAAATATAAATGCAATGTGACAGTAATAGTAATTCAGGATTAATTGACAAAAATAAATATAAGGAAAAAAGTCTAGCTGAAGATAAGCACAATAGGAGCCTTGATATAGTGAATTACTGGAATGAGAAGAATTCTACCTTATATGATGAAAGCATGATGCTAATGGGTGGCTTTCAAATGAAGCTAATAAATAAAAAATAAAATACATTCACTTCTTATGGGAAAGTGATGTTAATACTTTGCCTGCTTCATTGGCTAAATGCTACCCAGCTCTCACCATCAAGTTTCTTCAGTTTGGGTACTCGCTTGGTTGCTTCCTCTACCCAGGCACTCTGCGAATCAGCGGAGTATTTCTCTTCCAAGGGATTACCTACAAACACCAGGTCCTCCAACAGTGGCAAGTCTGCCAGCCTCACAAACTCTGCTGTAGCCACAAAGAAAAGCAGTCAGAAATGAAGCTGTATGTTATGAAGGACAGGAAAATCCTCAGAGATGTATGAAGCTTCCTCTTCAAGATCAGAAGATTTTAAATGAAACTTCTTTATGCAATATTGCACTAGCATTAGCATGGAAAACACAAGGTGGATACTTAAAGCAGATATACCACCATGTTCCAGCAATTCAGATGTCTGCATCTTCTAAACGGTTGTTGTTGTTATTGGTACTACTATTACTACATTACATTACTCTTCTATACTGCTTGTGGCCGAAGCTCTCTGGGCAGTTCACAACATTTAAGAAACCCATTAAGATTTCAAGAAAGCCCAACCCTGCTTAACTTCCAAGATTAAACAGGATCAGTCACTTCAAGCTATATGGAAGCTATGTTAAGAATGTCTTGCTCAGACGGGTATTGAAACAACTGTTATGCAATGAAGACTTACTGCTAATATTAAGAGTGTTGTTGGTGGGGAGTAAGTCTGCCCAGAAAAAAACTGTCAACCAATTTTGGACAGGATTGCAGTCCCAGTAGAAGATCAAGTCTGCAGTCTGGGAATGCTGCTTAGATCCAGCTTTGTCAGTGGGCACCCAAGTTGCATTTATGGAATAAAATAATTTTCACTGGCTGACGCAGCAGTTGCAACCCATTTTGTTGCAGACAGCTTGGCACATTTTTAAATTCTGTTATTCTTGTTTACACTACTGCAATATGCAATATGCATTATGTGGGGCTCCCTCTGGAGATTGTTGAAAAACTTCAGTTAATCTAAAATACAGCTTGGTTACCAACTGGGAACAATTGCTTCTTGCCTGTTTGATAGATTGTTATAAGCTGCCCAGAGAGTTTTGCTTGTGTGGCATTACAGAAATGAAATGAATAGATAAATGCAAATAACCACCACAACCACCAGGAACATACACTGCTAATGCGTAAACAATTTTTTACAGATTCTGATTCATTTCTAAGTACAAGTCTAAGTTTAGGACTTGCATTTAAAGCTCAGTGTAGCCTGGAGCCTGGACTGCCTTTTCTCACACAAGCCTACCTATATATTCAGGCCATATTTGAAGGCTCTTTTCCAACTGTGCCCACTTTTGGAGTCAGAAAGGCAACTATCAACTACTTTTTGAGTGGGGCCCCATCTCTGGGAAGATTACCCTTATACTTTTCAGCACCTGGCAAAGTCTCTTTAAAAATATTCCTGACCTTTCAAAAGCTTGGTTAAATTTTGGTTTACTCTTTTGCTCTGATATTCTGCCATTGCTATTCTGCTGTGGTTTTTAAAAATTAATATATGGGTTTATTTGTTATCATTTTACGACATTTGTTAGCCACCCTGGAAGTTGAAAGACAAGTATATGTAGCTCAAAATACATACATATGTACTTATATTTCAGAAAGGAATTTCTTCAGGAACTAATTCACTGGCATGAACTCATATATTACCAAGATGTTTCAGAAGGCAAACAATCACTCTGGCTTACCCCAGTCTTTCACCAGATTATTGGACATGTAGAGAATCTTCAGCTTCTTCATCACATGGAGCCCTTTCAATTTCTCAATCAGGTTGTATGAGATCCACAGCTCCTCTAAAGTATCTCCAACTGCTTCCTGAAAGGCAGTAATGTACTGTTTACCTTCCTATTCTCAAGTTGTTGGATTTCTAAAGAGATTGCTGAAAAAAACAAAAGTATTCATCTGAAGTCCTTCATTCCTGCTAGCAGGCTGCAAGTTGAGACATGACTAACAGAGAAGGATGATACAATAATCAAGATTCTTAGCCCAGAACACACAACACAGCAATCCAAAATGGGGTTGGAGTAAAGGAGTAAAGTGGTGAATCCTCTGCCAAAGCTCTGTTGGCCTGTGTCGTTGAGACTCAGAGCGGGGGTGGGGGGGCTGTATCCTAACCTTTCAGCCTGATCTTGAGCATTCCTATGTCTGATAAAAGCAATATGAAGGACATTCGCTACTCTCATTTACCTCTGCTGTTAGTTTTACCTTGGTTTTATAACTGTGGCTCCTTTAACTGTTTTCAATTTTATGTTATATGCTTGCATTTATTGGCCAAATTTTCATTGGGCAATATAGAACTATGAAATGTAGTTTATAAATAAATAAATAAATAAATAAATAAATAAGTGCACAGTTGCATGGGGTTTTCATGATTGGTAAACAATGTGGCAGTTGCTATAAGCACAGATAATTTTCCTGCAGTTATATTTCAATCATTGTGAACCAGAAGCTACTAAGTCAGGATATGAAGCTCATTAGTTAGCAATAGCATAAGCAAACAACCATCTGTGTCATTACATACCAGACCATTCAGATTCTTTATGTTGTTTCTCCCCAATGACAAAATCCGAAGGTTTTCTGCAACAGAAATGAAACTTTTTTCTATAGTATTGGTCATATATGTAATGTGAACGCTTGATGCAAATGCAACACACAGCACCCAGGACTGTTTTATACTGATCCAATTCTATCCAAAGGAAAAGGATGCAGGCAAGGTAAGGATGGAAACAGATGGTTCCTCCCAGAGCAGATGCTGTTCAAAAGTGTCCTGACCATATGTGCAGCCAATCATCTCCCTGTTCTAGCCTTGCAACAAGCCAAGTATCATCACACCCCTTTCCTACTTATGCCCAATAAGAGAAATCTGCAACAGTGAGTGGCTATATAGCTGGAGCCCATAAACGATTAGCTTCCCTTATGGTTAGATCCACTATGTGGAATATTTCTCAAAGCAGCCACCTAGTAACTAATCTTAGTTCCCTGCAAGAAGTAAAGTGAATGAGATGACAGAATACCTTGGAAGCAATTCATTTTATATACAGAGTGGGATCCAGCACTAAGATGTTATTGCTTATTTAGATTTCAACTCTTGGTTTTCAGATTTTTTTCTGTTTCAGCCGTATTTAATGAGAAAGGTTAACATTAAGCACCTCATTTTAAGATAACATAAATTGCTAAAAACAGGATCAGTCAGTCAACATAAAGTTTGGGTGTATTCAAATGCTACTTTGAAAAATAGGATTTCTCTGACATCCTGATACATGACATCTCCTGGTACAATTTTTAGCTTCTAACACACAGCAAAAGGTTAGCAATGCAAAATAGAATTGGTATTTGCACACAAATCTGAGACCTGATCCTGATGTCACAGCTCACAGGAGGAGTGTCATAACAGTCATAGCAAAGTTATACATAAAGAAGCAGCTAGAAAATACGTACTGATCATTCACATATCACTTACTTAGTCCATTCAGGTTGGCAATTTTTTCAATGCAGTTTGTAGATAAGGACAACTTTCTTCAAACAGAAAAAAACAACAACAACAGAGAACGAGATGTTAATTGCAATATGAAACTTATTGAAGCAGTGTTTCTTTACAATTAACATTTGCTCTGAATACTTCACCTCTCTCTTTCCTACCTTTATGTATATGCCAGTTCATACAATCGCTAACGGATGCTTCATACCTGGTGATATGGATTTGCACCAAGCTTCCAATGTTTTTCACAAAAGGTCTAACCACGAGCTATAATTCTGGAGCAGTGCATTTATTTCACTATATATGTTTATAGTGTCTTCAGCATCTTAGCCAGGCTGAGAGTCATTTGCCTTACCTAAGAAGTGAGCAGGGATAATGACGGGAGGTGGCTATGGGAAAAGATATCTGGAATCAGGAAGTTTGGACAAGACTTGGGGATTGCCATTGGCTGAATAGCTTCTTAATTCACTCTGTATTGGTTGGACTAAATCAGGGAAAAAAGTGTTCTACCAGGACTCATGTTCTGCATATAGAATAGCACACCCATTGAACAGTTTCCTGTACTAGAACTAGGAAGCAGGAGTAGTTTTCCTTACTGAACTACTAGTAAAATTCTTGGACACCAGGGAAATAGTTTAAGGGGGAAGAGTAGAACTTATTTTCTTTCTTTTTAATGACAATTATACAGAGAAGTTACATTTTCTGGCAATTTTTTCTTCTGTGCTGTTACGTATGAAAAATTTGACTACCACTCTGTAACAACAGACCTGCTGATGAGTTAGCAGTCTTTGCCAACACTCAGTATATGGGTCAGCCGGCAGTTTTCCATTTGTGCCCCACACTGAACACACATCAGGAAAATACTCTCAGGCTTCCTGTTTGAGGGATGTTATCTAAGCTCCTTTTAACAGCTTAGCAGAGGGAGGGAGGGAGGGAAAGAACTTAAGAAAACTGCTGTATTTGAATCCTGAACATAGTATGTTCACAATTCCATGAATACCATCCCCAGAGACTATAAACATTAAAACAACTGAGACCAATATAAAATGGAAGAATCTAGTATCAAGTCCAAAGATCATGCAAAGCTTTAGAATCTTAATTATGGTTTAGTGTGAGGGTAGGGAAATCTGTCTGTCAATGGATATACTTTTTCAGAGGGTATATTTTGGAGGCTACATGCCAGCAATCTGGTTGTTCTCCTTTTAAGTGGGCAACCATTATTACCTGTTCTGGAAGCAAATTCCATGGTTTAACTATGTGCTATGTGAAAGAGGTGTGACATTTGCCAGAGGTTTGATCTGATTGCCTGATAAGTACTTGTGAAATTAGACCAAGGGGTGCAGAGGAAACTTGTCCTTAGTTTTGTGTGATCCCTACACTGACAAAACATCATTTGTGATTGGCCAACATGTGAGAATCAGAAACCATACTTTGAAGTGGATTTGTATAAAGAGTAATGCAAATGATCATTTCTGCCAGCTATGTCTTGCCGTGATGTCTGACACAAATATTCACAACTACCCCTTTGTTCCTAGAGACCAAGCACTCAATATACAGAGTAGGGTGATAAGCAATGGAAAATGAAAGCAGACAAGTATTCATAATCCTATACATTTGAAAGCTGAAACCATGACTTGCATTTTAAATAATGACCAACTAGGATTTGCTATGATGTCTGAATTAAGCCTACAGTATGTAAACATGAGATTATGTACCTGAAAAGACAGCACTTATGAAAAAGCTAAGTGGTGAAGCAAAGAGATATGAAGCTCTGCTTAGATGTACTGGAGAGAAAGAGGGAAGACATTTTAATAAACTGTAAGTAAGAAAAATAAGCAACACAGAACACATAAATAACGTAAGATGGAATTCCCTCTTTCTTTTAACATGCAGAACCTACTCGCAGTTAACAAGAGTGGAAAGAGATGCATCCATTTTCTCTATAGCAGGAATCTGGGCATAGAGCTTTACTTCCTTGGCCTCAGATGGTTTCTGGCCATTTTTTTCTTCCTAAGAAAAGAGGGGGAAAGCCATTCTTTTTAATTAATAGTTATGAATATTCACTGTATTTGATTCAAGAGATCTATGAATTAATCCTTCTAACACGTATTTGCTAACAATGCTGTAGAATAAGTTGTACAAGCTGCAGCTAATGCTGCCTGGACACTGTATATACCAGCATATAAGACAACCCTTGAAACTGGAAATAGCAAGGCAAAAATCAGGGGGTAGTCTTATATACCAGGAAGCAAATTTTTCATCATATTATAGTCATTGTTTTAAAAATGATAGATAAAAACAAGCTTGTAAATTGAATTGTCTGTATTCCAGAAGATTGCTGGTTGTGCAACCTATGTCCTGTGAGCATCTGTAGACTTCCTCTTGGTTTGGCTCACTTTACTAAGTGAGACCAAGACTGGGCTAAGCAGTCCAGGAAGTCCAAGACTTGAGAGGAAGTCCACAAATGCTATTGGGATGGATTCTGTGGAACTTCATCACAATGCTAATATAAACCATGGCCTAATGTTAAATGTAAGTGCAGCACAATAATTAACAGTTACACTATAGTGCATCTAGCCTTTCTCAGTTGTAGTTATAACATCTGTTATTACTTCTACATGCTAAAAATCATATAATTTGTTACACTGGTTGTTTGCAATGAATAAATGGTACATTGTCCCAATAAGCAAAATTTTCAAAGGAGAAGAGATCATATACCCCAACAATGCAGCTTGTAAATAAGCTACATAGTGCGGGTCGCTCACTGAACAACCCAGGGTGTGCCTAATGAATGAACAGGCTCACTGTGGGTTGCATCCCAGGGGACTTAGTAGCAGAAGCTGCTTTGTCTCCATTCCCCGCTGTGACTGCAAGTCCATTTGCATTTGCTGCAGCTTTTTTTCAGATATTTTTTATGATCTCCTCTGCAATGCTTAAGTGCACAGTGTATGTGTGTGTGGGTATTAAATGCATAATTGAATGTTTGCAAATATTATCATAAATGTGTGTGAGAAAGTAGATTTCCAGAGTAGCACAGCTCCCATAACCAGCCCAACCAATTATGTTCAGATGACATGGCAACCCATTCTAGCTAATTACAACAAGTTGCCACAGCATGCAAACCCTGTCAGTGTAAAAAAACATATGTATTAATTAATTTAAAGGGAAAAAGAAATGATAGATGAAAACAAATATTCAATACTGCACATTTTCTTTGATTGTGTTAGCATATAACTGGGCATTTCTAGGCAGTTAATTGAAACAGAAATGGCAATTCCTGCAGAATTTCTGCAGGTTTATTTCTGCAGCCCAGGAACTGATTAGGGTTACATGTGAGCTGGGTTTTTATGTAATGTAGTTGCTGCTGTCCTGTGTCTTTTTTTTCCCTGAAGAAAAGATTAACTCCCTGGCAATTAGACTGAAAAGTTAATCGTGTAACAAGGGCAAGACAGCTGGAAGAAGCTCTATGAAGCCCCTAGAAAGGAGGCTGAAGAAAACTTTTCCTGAATTGCATCAGCCTTTATGCTAGCCTTTCATCACACATTGCATCAACCAGAAGGTTCTAATTCTTGCTTGTTCAGGCCTTCTGCTTTTTTACCCTAAGTCTCTTATCTTTGCCTTGCTCTCCCTTCACCTCTCTCCTATCATTGTGCAAAAGCTTATCTCATACAGCTTCTTCTCCTTTACTGTGCTTTATGCTTAGATATGCATGGCCCTATTAATCAAACAGCATCTTTTCCCTTCTCCTATACCCACTTCTTTAACAAATGGATAGATAAACCTGTCTATCATCTCATTAACTTAGTCATCCACAACCTGGTGCCATCCAGAGATTTCAAACTACACATTTCATCTTTGTTGACCACTGGCCATGAAGGCTGATGAGAGTTATAGAGGGCACTAGATTGAAGAAAGCTGCATTTGGCTCTCTTCTGCCTCTTCCTGCTACTCATTATGACATTGTGATATCTATTGAAGCTGAAAGGCAATTCAAAAAATAACCTCCTCCTTTATCGTGCCTGAATAACAAAGGTTCTAAACCCTCAAGCAACGACTATGTAATATCTCTGCACAGAACACTGTTCAGCATATTGTTGATGGTATATAAATATGTACTATAACTAACAGTACATAGCAGGTCAAATGCAAAATGTCAGTAAAAGAAAAGAACAAATATTTTATTACACAGATTGATGTATGTGTGCCTTGTAAATACTGTTTCTACATCACTGCAAAGAAAAAATTCTTGGCCATAGCGAAGAAAATCCATGGGACAACAAAAACACAACTCTTTTCTACTTACCCATTTAGCTAGAGCTTCCTTAATAGTTGTTGCTTTTGCCTAATGAAAGAAATACATGAAAGAAATTTTAATAGAATAATATAGGCAGCCATCCTGTTAATTTTATGGCTTTAAAGCGATTCATCCATTATATTTAAACAATTAACATACTACAAATAGAATGTGTTTGTTGAAGGACAGGCCAGCTTAATTAATAATTTACCATGGTATAAAAGAAGTTAATATTCACAGTTGAGGCAAAAATGTTTTCTTGAAATAAATGTTAATTAAATTTAGGAATATGAGATATTCCTCATTATATAATAAATCATGGGGGGAAATGGAAGATCCAGGTTTACCAGAGTGATCCTATGGCCATCCAAACATCATCTAGAATAAAATGGATTCTAACACCAGAGGTCAGAGATAGGTTCTGACCATGGAGCTGGGGACCCATGCTTAGATTCCATTCCACCCTTCGTAGCTGGTGTGGAAAATGGAGGGTGGGCTGGTTGCCTCAGCGGAGAGGGGATATAACAGAGAGGAGGAGGAGACTGGGGCCATTAAGATACATTCTTCCCTTGCCCTTTGAAATGAAAAGCTGGAGGTATGGGGAGACAGAGATTGCCTCCACCATCACCTTTCCTTACTCGTCAGTAGATGCTCATAAGCTTCCAAGATCAGACTTAAAAGATTCTAGGCTTACATGGTCTTCCTTCCTCCATTTAATCCACACAACAGCCCTATGAGCTAGCTTAGGCTAAGTGTCAGTGACTTGTCCAAAGTCACTCAGCTAGCCTTACAGCTGAGCAGGGACTAGAACTCAGATCTCCCAAATTAAAATCCAGCCCTCCAAACACTACCTCACATTGTTTCTCCATTATTAATCAAGTGAAGTTCGCAGTTCAAATTGTTTGGCATAGAGCAAAACTGTTATGCAACCAAATCTCAGGATGTTAGAATGAAAAACAACCTAAAATGTGGCTTCTACCCCTTTGAAGATGAAAAACAGGCTTTTGCTCATTAAAAGTGGTTAAAATGTTTTCTAAAATGACTTATCGTTCCCCTATCAATATCAACAAAAAGCTATCTGGACAACATTGTATGTTCAACCACTACATCCCAATTGCATCTACTAGGCATTTTAAAAATACCAAATATTTCATGCCATGAATGAAATAAAAGTTATCATGTTTTGACCTTGAACAAAGCACCACTGTATTAACCCTCCCCCCCATTTCTCATAATCATCATGTACAAATACTACTGATCACCATAGCTATGTGTTTCAGGTCATCTTTATACATTTAAAATATGATGTTTCTTACATTTAAGTCCATCCACAATTTGGCATTGAGTACACACTAGTCTATTTTAGAATTAATCAAAATAAGAGTAATGATACGAATGCAATACTATCAACTGTATCATATGGGAGAAACATTGATTCAAATTCCTCAAAAGCCAAGAAGTTAATTGAATAATACAGAATTAAGGCTAATTTGCTTTATAGGGATTATCTGAATAATATAGGCTTGCATGTTGTTGTGGAACTGTAGGCACAAACCCTCCACTATGTTTTTAATTATGGGTTGTGGGAAAAACCCCACTATTGGTTGATGGATTGTGAACTTTGTGTTATTTTTGATAAACCAACCATAGTTAAACCAAACTCCAAGGTTTGCATTTAACAAGACCATCACCCATAAGAACCAAGCAAAAACAGCACCCACAAGCATCTGGCATGATGCAATAGCCCCTGTAGATAAATCAAGTCATTGTGGGCTGTTATGCCATGCAAACCAGGACATAATCTGTGCAAACTAGACCAATGTCATGGCTTTTGTGAAGGGTTATTATTTCTCCTTTCAACTTGAAAAGATAGAAATTATTTGCATTTACATCCAACTGTACTTACAGCTAAAATTGGCTACATCTCCATTCTTCCTAACAACATTCTGTGTGACATAGAAGGATGCATTTTCCTACCAAAAGACAGTGGTCCCACTATATAGATATAGATTGTAGCTGATCTTACACATCACTATGCCAACTCTCAAAGGTACTGAGGGCAGAATACAGAAAAGGGCTATAATACAATATTTACTACACAGCCTAAACAGACACTTTGCTGTACAGAGATTTAGTGACTATGGAAACAGCCTCACCCCATTGCACTGCTGCAATTCCCCAAATCCATCCATTAAAAGGGCTTAAGGGGCTTTGGAAGTACAAGAAGGAAAGAGCTCTAGGGCTTTGCCTTGCTATGAATGCAAGTGTAGGTGTTTTGCTGCCCTTATGTTAAAACCAAGGACAGATTCAGGCTGTTTATCATGCTAACTGCCTAGAAGAATACAAGGTTGAAGTGAGCGTTTTATAAAATAATAATTTTTAAAAATCTGTAGGACCCAAGCAGAAAATGAAAACATAAGCCGCAAAAGCAGCCTGTCCTTGAATTTATCACACTGGTGTCTATTAAAATTGTGAATGCAAATTTCAGTCAAGATTGCTAATGCAGATTCTATATTTATGTCATTCTTCTTTGTATTTATTTACCATTCTATAGAAGACAACTTCTGACACTAAGATGACTCTGGATGATGGATATTTTGCACCAACTATTCAACTCTCTCTTCCTGTAGGGGGAAAAATGTTAGGATTGCTTCAGATTTCAATCATCACAACTATGACAATCAAATCACATATTAGAGAAAAACATTCTGCATTGCCATGTCTCAGAGCTTCTTCAGTACTTCTTTTGTTTTTTAACTAGAACTCAGATATCCTCTGAGTCACAAAATACAGGTATTTGGAATTAAAGGATTTTGATCACAGAAACTGAAAAGTGCCTAGTTCTTCCACACAAAACCCATTCTTGTTTATCCCAAGCTTTTATAATTTCAACAGTACAATTCTGAAAAAGGAGGTTCATGCTTATTGCTATTATTAAATAACTGGGTGTCAGAAATCCTCTAGTAATCTATTGCAGGTCACCCAGTATATTCTTAAATAAGCTCAATACAGTTCTATTCTGATAGGGAAACATTTCATGTTTCTGAGGAAGCTGGCTCTGGCTGATAAGACTTCATGGTATGATATCTGAATTAGTCTTTAAGGTAATACTACATTACCTCAGTGTGCTTCCAGACAGGCGTCTCCTAGCACTACCAAAACAAAAGCTTGTCTTTCCTCCTTGTAGTATAATACCCCCGAAAAAGTAAAAAACAAACAAAAACAGAAGAGTCAGTGGAAAAATACAGGAAGGTTACAAATGTTAAGTCAGCATCTGAGCCCCAGTCAAATTCCTCAATTAAGGCAGGGCAGCTTTAAAACTCCCCTCTGGCAGCACCCTCAGTCATCCTTCAAACAATCCTCTACCGTACTCCAGCACCATCTCCATGTGAACGGTTAAGACTAACTTGCCTGAAGCCACAGGGCTGAAGAGAGATTTGAACTAGAGAATTTTCAACTCACACAAGAGAGATGCTCACCAGGCCACATTTGCACATCTAGGGAGTGAAGGAAAACAGACAGGAGATCTTTCTCGGACGACGACGCGACCACCACCACCCTTGGTTCAACCTGCACCAAACTGGAACAACGTCCTCCCTTGAACTTTTCAAAGCACTTGTCCTTCAAGCTCCCAACAATCCAGCAACTCTTCAGCGTCATGATACAGTTGCACCCAAGCCCCTTTTGTCCCCCGTCTCCCCAAAAGGGTCCTCCATTCACTCCAGCACCCCACCCCACCCCAAGACCTCTGTTCTCCAGGCCTGGCAGGTTCCTTCATCCCCCTCGAGCAGCTGCCTAACCTTGGTCCGACGAGTCGCAATTCCTTCTTCTCCCTTCCCTCCATTATACATCGATACAGCTTCTCCCCACCCTTCGGCCGGCCGGCCGGCCAGCCAGTTCTCCTTAGGGGTTCCCTGCCCAAACCACGACGGTCCCCTCCTGGCTCGTTCGCCTTTGCCCAGCCCAGTCCCCGCGCTCCTAATCCTTCAGGCCTCTCTCCCTTCCCCCTGCATCCTTCGAACGGACTCACCATTATTATGATTCTGGTTGCTACCGTCTGCTGCTCCGGTTGCTATGGCACGCTATGCCCGTGCGCATGCTCACCTGAAGGCGGGGAGGGAGACAGGGAAGAACAGGGCGGCAGAGCTAGAAGGTTGAAGTCAACAGCCGGATCATAGAGACTCACCTGAAAATAGATAGGCTTTTACTCCGGAAATCTCGTCCTGACCATAGAGAAAGAGGAGAAACAGGTCATAGTAATAGGCGCCTCCTGGTTTCCGGTATCCTTTGGGATGCAGCTCAATGCGGCCGCTTTGGCATGCTGTGTTTAGAGGGTGCGATGGTGGCGGCAATTGACCTTTTCAGAAAACCTTGCTATATTTTGTATAATGTATCTTTCACTGAAAACAGCCAAAGACAGAGGGTTATGACCTAAATTATTCTTAGAGGAGCCCGTTGAAATGTGCGAGACTGGATTAACAGTAACGTTGGATGCAAGAGAAGCATTGCATGTGGCCCGGACAAATAAGGGATAGAGACTTCCCCCTTATCATCTGTAAATTTTATTATTTTTTATGTTTTGCAGACTGGATTTTTGGTTAGTTTTGAAGTCTTGGCTGTATTTCAGTTATAATAGCGAAAGCAGTCTCAGGAGACCATGGAGTAGTCCAGCATTTTATTGTTGGGGGTAATAGGTTGTTGTTAACGTGTTGTCAGTCGTCTTATGGTGATCTTATGATTGAATACCCTTCAACTTAAGGCTGTGACTTCCTTTGTGGAATCGATCTGCCTCATATTTAGTCTTCCCTTTTCCTGCCTTCAACTTTCGCTAGCATTATTGACTTGGCAGCAGCATATTCACGCCTCTTTCCCAGACAGAAACAAGGATAGCCATATTTGTTCACATTTAGGTTTTCTAACCTGTGTGTTTGGAGTGCATTCAAATACCCATGCACATGCTTCCTGGACTAGAAATAAATTCCAGAGAGATGGTTGTTCCTTGCACAAGAACCTGAGTTTAACTAGTGTATTATGGCAAAAGTTTCTGGGGAGCTTTAAGTGTTATCCAATGACACAGAAAGTACAGTGATAATTAAACAGCCCCAGCCATTAACAGAACAGTCGATTGTGGAACCACTGAATTATAATTTATCAAGAGAGTTAATTCCATTATTCTGTGGCTTGAAGCAAGAGGGCTTACCGTGCTCCCAATCAGATGAAATGTCTTAATTAGTTTGCTAATGCTACCATGTCTGTGCTTTTTATTAAGAACTGTTTGCATTGGTCATTGTTAATAATGTGTTACTGTCTCTGTGCATTTAATTTCCCTTTGACTTCAGTGTTTACTCCCACTTCTAAAAGTGGGCTGGATACAGGTTCTGCCTTTCATGAGAAGAAAGGCTCTGCTTGTGAAAGTTTCTTCCACCTGATTTCCATCCTATGCAGCAGGTTGACTCTTTTATGTAGCATTTTCAGGGGACTGGAGAGGATTGCTGTTGAGCAGAAATGACAGGGAAGTCTACTTCCATTAGAGCAGTTAATCCAGCATAAATATGGAGTATATATCCCTGCAATTTAGAAAAAAAAATTCATGCATCTGAAGTGGACTCTAGTCTATAAAAACGTAGAGACTGTACTTAGTCTTTACAGTATCACAATTCTATTACTTTTTATAAATAATTTGTCCAAATATTATTATTCTCATATTGAAGTCTGGAAGTATGGTTTCAGGCCAACAGATAATATGTCTCTCATGCCAGGGTGTGGGTAGTTGGTATTTGAACAACCCTGTAATTAGATTAGAAAGTTAGATTAGAACAATTTTGTAATATAAGCCAGTACTAGTATAGTTACAGATTTATTTTGTACATAATGAGAAACCTTCATGAGTAAATTTCTGTTGGGCTTCTTGCTGCATCATTCACCATCATTTTTAATATTTAGGGCACAATGGGGGCATTCCATAGTTTCTTGTTATATGTGAAGCTGGTGAAGGTGAATTGTTAGGTTGTCACTCACCCACACCCTAAAATGACCCATGGTTTCTGGGAGGCTTGTCAACCACCCCAACAATTCACCCATAGTGGCTTCTCCTTATATATGAGTTGGACAATACACTGCACAGGTTTGGCAGGCTTTCTAACCAAGTGATGGACAACCTTGCTCCAAGTATTTGCATGCAGACACAGTGACACAGTTCACATATAATGCTACAATTCCTGGGTCATTGTCATCATGTCCAAAAACAGAAACTCTAGGCTTATGGGTTAAATGATCCAGAGGTAACTCCGCAATTGACCATCATTTCTTGTTGGGTTAACATTGAAAAATATCCTGAATTTTTGGGTTTATATGTTATGAAACAACTCAGAAACAAAACTCTTAGGTTGTTAATTGAAAGTGAAAATCATGATTATAGAGGAATTGCAGTGTGATGTGTAAACCAAATACGGACAGAGATGCGCAAAAACACCACAGTTTGGGTAGGGGGCATTCCACTCCAAGAAACTGACTCAGAATAAAGAAAACAGGATACAATTTACAAACAGTGGTAAGAGTGAGTGGATTAAGACCAGCATTTTATCAGGTTGTTCAGATCTGAATACTTGTATTAGCTTTCAGTCAGCTGGTGTAATTTGACAAAAGCAGAATATCTAAAAAAAAACCTTGCAACTAAAAAGATTTTTAAGAATAGGGTTCAGTTTTTCCAATGCAGGTAATACTCAGTGAAGAAGCAATGAGTAAAGATTGATTTGGTATTTTCAAATGACAGTTTAGGTAGTTTTTAATTCACAATTAAAACATGTACAATCTTCAAGGAGATTTATGTTGGAGGTGTCATGGCATAACATCTGGTACTAAAACAGGTGTTCTGCAAGAGGCTGAGGGGAGGGATTGGATATCAAAGTCCCCCTACCAAAGTTACACAGCCTGAGGAGGGGAGGAATTTGAAAAAACATGTCCCTGGGACCAGGACTACATTCAGAGTCAACTTTTATAAATTAAATACTGTGGGGTATGTGCTGTTCTAATTGTATTCTTTTTTAACCTTTTATGTAAGCAAAACATTGGAAGAAAAAACAGGAAGCACATATCTGAGAAATATCAAAACCATCAATAAAAGCAGTTTATTAGTAGCAACTGGAAAAGCACATTAACCAAAACATGGGTACTTTTTTGCCCAATCTTAGTGTTTTTATAAATTAGCCAAGTATCACATTTTCACGACATCATTTGAAAAGAATTGCTCCAAGCCATTAAGAACTGACACTCACTATCTGAAACCGTAAAATCCAAAACCATGACACCGATCTACAAACAAGTGTTTTTATGCCCACAAATGGAGGTTTTATGAAGGGTACATCCTAAGCTCTCCAACTCAGAAACTTAAGAGCCTCCATGCAAAGTGAGAAGAGTAGCAGAGGTGCTCTCTACCTCACTGCACCTCATTTTAGCTTGGCTGGTTTTGGCTACCTTGGAGAGGCATTAGCAGGAAATCACATATCCTGGCAGCCCCAGTCTCCTCTTTCCCCCCCCCCTTTAGCCCCTCCTGAGGTTATGTTCCTGACTTCGCAGAGGCAACTGAGATAGTTATTTCTGCACCAGCTATGAGTGGTCTAGAGCAGGATCAGAGTAAGGATCTGGGAATCTGAATTATCAGACAATGTCTAGGGACTTCTAGGATTGCTCTCACCATGAATGTATTACCTTCTCAACAGTGCCAATCAGCAAACGGACAGGAGAGGGGTGGGGTGGGGGAAGGAGTCTTACTAAGAGATAAAAAAAGTCCCTTGAAAAAATCTTTTTAAAAATGATCTTTCCAGATCTAAAATCTTTGTTATTTATTCATATTGCAGAATCCATTTTTTCATTTCTCCAGTTTGTAGTGTTAAAGAAATAAAAATGGTCCTTGGGGATGAAAATGGAAAAGTCCTCTCATACTTAAAATTCTGCTAGAATGTATTGCTGTAGAAGTCACTAGTCACTGACCAAATACATTTCAATTTATACTCTTCCAGACATACTTGGTTGCTAAATCTAGCTCAGCATTTTTAGGGCTCTTCCTGTCACTTTCCTCAGAAAAAGGTGAAAAGCTAAAGTCGAGTGTGCCTGCACTGTCAAAATCTGGTCAAGGTGCCATACTAGAACTTGGGAGTAATAGCAGATTGAAAGGAAAATAGTGTGAAAATCCTAGTTAAATCCAAGAGTCATTGTTGGCTTAAAACAGGTAATCCAAGAACAAAAGTAGAACAGGATGTAATGAAATATTGCTAATGGTAATAAAAATTCAACAGTTAAATATGCCATCATAAGGAAGAAATACTCCCAGTAAGAGGGATGAGAATGTCCAATTTTGATAAATTCCTTTTATGAACGCAACAGGTTAGGAATCGTTCCTGTGAAGAGCTACGAATGCATGACAAAAGTCAACTGTGGTGGTGGAGTCATAACTGAAAATGGGCAGAGCTTAAACCACTGAAGAATTGCATAAGTCTTTATTGTTCTCTGCCACTCTATCTCTTCTCTGCCTCTCTTCCATTCTTGAGCATGTGAGCACACACAAAAAGTAGAATTAAGAAACTTTTCCCAGGAAGATTGGCTTAGAGATGAGATTAGTTCCATAGCACCTGCAGAGCCAGATACTGACAGCCACAAAAAAATTAAGCACAGGATGTGTATAGCTCATGGACTGCATGACAAATGGTAATCCTTCCCCTATGGCACTTGGAGCCAGAGCTGAACGTTTGCAGAGTTCACTGCTTTTTTTGGTGGATGCAAAATTAAGTTTAAAACAAAGGCGTAGAGTTCCACAGTAGTCTTGGCATTTCTCTGTTTAAATTCTGTTTGTTGCCCTCTTTTTCAGTGCTTTCAGCAAAGGAGATACCAGGCATAGAGCAAAGCTGCTCTGGGAATAGGGAATCAAGACCTATAATGGCTTTTCATTTAAGGTCAAGCTGTGGATGGCTCCCACATTTTTCTGTCCATACAGTTTAAATAGTCCTTTAGCTCTTTCTTTAAATAGTGACACTGGCTGTGTTTGCTAGGAATAGCATATTCAAGAAATACAATTTTTAGAGAAGAAAAAACAGTCATATTTAGGATTAGAGACTGCAAAATGGCTGAGGTCTATAGCTGGAGTTGAAGAGTACACTAATTGTTTCCTCTTTTCTGACTGTTTGCTGCTGTTTGCTGCAGTTCCACCTTTAATTTTTTAGATGTTGACCAAGATTTGCAGTTTCAGATGCATTAACTAAGGTCTATGGTTCAACAGTCACAACCAATTTCTATACCGAGAAACATGCATTCATATACCACACGTGTGTTTTCATCTTCCATGTTTTCCATTCAGTGCTTCAAAATTCCTCTAGCCATTCCACACTGAATAAACAATCTTGACACACACTTCGATGGCTATTTAACGAGGCTATACATACACAGCATATTCTAGCTCTTTCCATTGTTCTTTTTCAGTGTCTGAGTCAGATTTTAGTAGCTTTTGGATTATTTTCTCCCATCTTCTCTCAGGGTTCAATTATTTTATTGTGCTTCTCATCTCAAGTGGAAGTGCAGAAACTCAAGAATCTTGCCCCAGGAATGTTCTTGGGCATGGGCATGAGCTCTGCTCTCTCCACCACCCAGAATAGGCACCCCTAGAACACGGTCCAAGGCTATCAGGCAAACTGGAGAAAAAGATGGATTAATTCGATGGCCTGCTCCAGTGTAACTCAAGAGTTTACAGTTGTCCTTCCCATGCTGGCGTAAATATGCAATGGCTATCTCAGCATACAAAGAACTCTTCCAAACGCGATCATCCTCCCCTACCACAAAAAGAAACTGTCCCTCTGCTTTCTCTATGGGGATGCGGCAGCATGAGTTAGCTGGGTCTGTTGGATCATCCAAGGCTTCATAAATATCGAGCACACCATTCTCCAAAATACGGACCCTGCTCATATTAAAGCTAAGTGCAGGCAGAGTCAGATTGCCATAATGAACAGCACTGGCTGTGATGGAACTGCAGCCAGAAATGCAGACAGCAGCCACCACTTCTTGTAAGAAGGTCATCATTGAAGCTGCCAGTTCTGCTCCTTTCCCAGTTCCAACAACACCAATTCCTGGCCCTCTAACCTTCAGGAATGAAACAACAGGGGTAAAGATTATATACTGGAAGAGAAGAGTGAATATAAATATGTACCATGAGGCACCTATACTAAAATTTATGTAGAAATGCTGGTCAAATGATCAGATTTCTCAAAAATATACACATCAAAGGAAAAATACAATACTATTCCATTAAAAATGTTAAGCACAGATACAGAAACTGAAATAAAAACCGTCTACCATGTTATCATTAAGGCTATTTATTTAATGTAAGAACTGTCTATTCCTTCCTACATGCACAGCTTGCAATTCCTATTCCAAAGTCTGCCCTAGTGCTGACTTATAGAACCCAGATTGTTCTAGAATGGCATAATTAGATCTCCAGAATGTTTCAACTGTAGGATTCCTTTGACAAGTAAGTTTTATTTCTTATATATCCTGCCTTTCAAGGAACTCAAGGCAGCTCACACAATTCTCCTCCTCTCAGGCTTATCTTCACAACAACAACCCTGTGAGATAGGTTGGGCCAAGAGTCTGTGACGAGCCCAAAGTCACCCACTGAGTTCCATGGATGAGTGGGTATTAGAAACCAGCTCTCCTGAGTCGTAGTCCCACACTCTTTACCACTACACCACACTGGAAACTGGTATTTCTTCAAGGAATGAAGAATCAGTTGTGCCGAGAATGGAATTACATGGATGAGCAGTGAGGCAGCCAAGTTCATTAAAAATATCTAATTACTTAGGGTTGTTAAAAATGATTGTGAAATACTCAAAAAGGAGCTCTCCAAAGTGAGGCTGGTCATTAAAATGGCAATTACAATTCAATGAAAGCAAGTATAAAATGATGTATGTTAAGGCCAAAAAAATTCTAACTTCAGCTCATGCTATTTCATTAAGAATTCTTGGGATTTGGATCGGTGGGTCAGTAAAAATGTCGTGCTTTGTGCAACAGCTGTGAAAATAATGCTACTGATGACTTGTAGTCATGATGACTATATTATTACCTCTGGTATTCCCCTCAATTTTAGAGGCTGGGGAAAATAAGAAGGAAGGTTCTTTTATTCCTCCTGAGAACTTCACATAGGCATCTGGTTGGCCATTGTAGATGAACAGCATGCTGAACTGGATATACCAGAACGCCTCTTATGTTCTTTTAAAGTGTTGCTGAAAAAAAGTATGTATGTATTTTGGTAAACTTTCCTTTCCACACTCACCTTTGGGTGACGCAGCAGAAATCTGGCTGCTTCTTCAAAGTACTCAAGGTGGAAATCCTCCATGACCTTGGGGAGATCCTCAAAATTAAAGTATGGCAGAGAAAGAGCAGCAAAGCCATGAGTAGCCAGAAGGCTGGATCGGAATTCAATTAACCCACCTTCATCACCAAACATGTCTATCACTCCTGGGAAAGGTCCATCTCCTAATGATAGAAGACAGAGAACAATATTTTTGGAACAAACCTTTGAAAGAAAATAGTGAGAAAAAAGACTTCAGCTATTTTCAAAATTTTATTTCTATTGAAATAATTTTCACAACACTAACAAAAATGTCTCCTACTAACATTATTAAATTACCAGAATACACACACAGGAACTTCATATCTTCAGAAGGAGACAAGAGAAATAAAATGCTGTTACAGCACAATCCTATGCATGTCTGCTTGAAAGTAAGCCTCATTGGCTTGAATGGGTCATATTTCCTGGTGTTTATGTAAGACTGATATGAGCTTTTCAGAGAGACTTACTTGGCACCTTTTTGCACCAGGTGAAGCATTTCTTATTTTCCCAGGCATCTTAGTTTTTAGTTTCTGTTATTTTTAAATCTGCTACTGTATTTTCAATCTTTGCATTGCTGCTAGGTTTTTGTTTATGCATTTATTTTATACTGAAGTCTCAAATTGTTATAGTGTATTTTTTCATGTTATTTTTCATGGTTTTAATTGTTGTGAGCTAGCCAGCTTTGGTTGTTGGGTGGCATAGTAATATATTAAATAAAATATTGCAACCTTAGAGGGAAAAAACTGTCTAATAACACATGGGATTGTGCCCTTAAAGTACAATCCTGTGTGTGCCAACTCTGAAGGAAAGCCAACTGAGTTCAGTAGTGCTTATTTCCAGGAAGGTGTATATACAATTGCAATCTAATATGAAAGTTCCACTCTTTAAAATGTATGTCAATATGAATAACCATACCTCTATAATAGTATTATATTTTTCTTGTGTGCTAATATTCTTCTATGTTTTTGGCAGGTGCATCACATGATGAGTCCAAAGCACAAGCCAGTGCCCTCTACAATTCATATAGAACATCTTGTCCTTTGGAGTGGTTTTACCTCTAGTCCTCCTGTTGATGAGCACATTGTCCTTTAATGGTTGCCCACTATTACTAAGGCCTTGATATCTACTAGATCACCTTCTCTTTTATTTACCCAACCAACCCTTCAGATTGTCATAGGAGTCCTCAGAAATTACTGGAATTTTTCTGCTTAATCACCTTCACAACAGGCCTTCTAGATAATGGTACCCACTCTGTAGAAAAAATTATCTTGTGCACTTTGGGAAGAATGCCCCATGTTTCGCCTCCCAAATACCTCCTGAAAACACTTTGTTCACACAGGTGCTCTCTGGCTTGTAATTAAATTAACCATGCCACTCCACTGCACTCCTTTCCTGCTCTATATTATCATTACTGCAACTGGAATTGTTTCCAAAATCCTAGTTTAAATCTAATTTTAACAGCGATGTTTTAATTTTGATTTAACATTCACATGTAAACTGTTCAAGGTTTTGTTAATACTTAATAGTATAAAAACATTGCAAATAAGTAAAATAAATACTTATCCTGTTTTTGCCGCCTGCAACAGCCACAGTGGTTGGATGGAGTAAATCGGTTGCCCGGGGCAGAGAAGCAGTCTGAATCCACCCCTGCTCCATGAAAAAGCTACCCCACTCACCTGGGGGGAGGAACAGGCTGCCTCTCACCACACCTTCCTTCAGTCTAACCTTCCTCATTTTGGGAAGACTGAACCACCTCTCGACGCTCGTTTTGGCAAGCACCTCTCCAGGGATAGCACCGGGCTGGCTGTAACCGCGGTGCACAGACAAGTCCACTGTTATGGGCGCCTTCTCCACGTTCGAGGGTTCGAGCCTTTGGTAGGGCTTCTCCATCGCGGCAGGGGAGAGGCTCCAGAACAGCCCCATGGGCTCAAAGCCAATGTAGTCGCCTCCCTTAGAGGCATCTTTGGACAGGTCTACCTCTCCTCGTTTATCTGCTTGGTAGTGGGCGCAGGAATCAAAAAGGCTGCCCTGCTCACTCACCACCAGCGCCCGAAGAGTCACTTCTTGCAAAGGCTCGAGTCCCCACACCGTAATCCTCGCCGGCTGATCGGCCAGACCTGCGGCGGGGGAGACCGAGACCGTCACCACTCCTCTCCTATTGCACCCTCTGAGGGAGACCCGCCCAAAGGGGTGGCTCAGAGCCCCGAAGTGCTCCAGGCAAACGCTCCAAGTCCTGGCTACAAGCCTTCGCCACATGATGAGCGGGTCGGATCGGCCACTGTCCGCGTATTACCCTGCTAGCAAGGCAGAGGGAAGCAAGAGAAAGCAAACTGGTAAGTCCCCTGAAGATGCAAAAGGCTGCATAAATCGATCTCCGACAGCACGATTCAGAACAGGAGAGTTAAAACTCGGCCTTGCATCAGAACCGAGTCCGCAAAGGGGCAACATGAACGCACACACTGGAAAATCATTTCCATTTCAGCGTTACGGTTCCTGTAACAAACGTGGGCTATGTGAAGTGGCATGAGTACGAGTTTAAGTTCTCGAAGTGCCTGCGCTCAAATCAGTATGAACCTCAAAGTCCTAGCTGTAATATTAGTTCACTTTAGAGTACTTAGTACTGTAAAAGTCTAGTGGAAAAGTTGTGACATAAGCGTTCATGAACAAGAATCCACCTAGGGTGCAGCAAGACTGTTTATGGTGCAACTGGCAGCCCCATTTTGAAAAAGCATTCTTGTGCAGTTCTTACTATAAATGAACTCAAAATAGTTTCTGCCCTGTGTTTTCTTAGGAAGTTGCCCAAAATGACTTCCCTCTATGTACTCACTCATGGAACATTTGGGTTCCTACTTTTTGTAGGTCCCTTCTCTCTCTCAGCTCCACCCTCTGTATCAGATAAGCTCCATTATTGCTGAACATTTGGCATCTGGTGTACGACTGTACCATTTCAGCACATGTGCCTAGGTAACAAATTGTTGCTTGAACCTTTTAAAAATAAACTCAATTCCTAAATGACCCTTGCTTGTCGTGTTCAGTATGCGGGCTTTAAATGTTGTGGTACTTACTATGAAGTGTAAATATTTTCTAGAATTTCAATTCTTCCACTTGACAAGCCTGTCAAAATACTTCTTTTCATTTAGTTTTGAGGTTGACAAATAGGATATCATGGTTGGTAAAGCATCCACTTCCTTGAAATTTATTATTTCTCCATGTTTCATATATAATCTGGATAGAACACCCTGTTAGCTCTTATGTGACAATTATGAACTATAAATGCTGAATTTCTATAGCATTGGCCAGCATATTTAAATTCTTGGGAAAACATTTTAGAAAGTTTTCCCCCCTCAGAGTTGATTCCAATTGGTTGTGGTTTGTTTCCATAGGTACTGTTACATGTTTGTTACAGGCCCGATTAGCTGCTGTTGAAACTTACATAGCAGCCATTGCAACTGCTCTGTGATTGCCCTTTCTGGGGAAACTACAGAATATTGTGTTTTAAACCAGAGAAATGTGTTGTCCTTATTACAACAATATTTGAGAACTGTATTTGGGGGGTGGGGTGATAGGGGGAATTATTACAGGCAAAAAACCTACCAAATAGAGAAATCCGTAATTTTAGAAGAGAACTTGAAGACATTACAAAAGATGAAAATGTTAAGTGTAACTGTAGGAACCAGCCCTTTCATAGATCACTGCCTTGCGGTGGTGAAGTGGCTTTCATAGCCCAATGAAGCTATGCACTATGTCATGCAGGGGCACCCAAGACGAATAGGTCATAGCAGAGCTCTGACAAAAGGTGATCCACTGGAGAAGAAAATGGCAACCCACTCCAGTATCCTTGCCATGAAAACCCCATGGACAGAATCAAAATGCTAAAAGATATGACACTGGAAGATGAGCGCCTCTGGTCAGAAGGTGTCCAGTATGCTACTGAGGAAGAGCGGAGGGCTAGTACTAGTAGCGCCAGAAAGAATGAATAAAGGTAAAGGTTTCCCCTTGATGTTACATCGTCATGCCTGACTCTAGGGGGCAGTGCTCTTCTCCGTTTCCTAGCCAAAGGAGCCAGCATTTGTCCCCAGTCTCCATGGTCATGTGGTCGGCATGACTAAACACCGAAGTAAACGGAACGCTGTTACCTGCCCACCAAAGTGGTACCTTTTTATCTACTTGCATTTGAATAGACAGGGTCAAAGCTGAAAGAACACTCAGTTGTGAATGTATCTGGTGGTGAAAGGAAAGTCCAGTGCTGTAAAGAACAGTACTGCATAGGAACTTGGAATGTAAGATCTATGAATCAAAGTAAGTTGGATGTGGTAAGCATCGACATCTTTGGAATCAGTGAACTAAAATGAACAGGAATTGGTGAATTTAATTCAGATGACCATCATATATACTAGTGTGGGCAAGAATCCCTTAGAAGAAATGGAGTAGCCATCATGGTCAATAAAGGAGTAGGAAAAACAGTACTGGGATACAATCTTCAAAACGACAGAATGATCTCAGTTTGAATCCAAGGCAAACCATTCAACATCACAGTTGTCCAAGCCTATGCCCCAATCACTGATGCTGAAGAGACTGAAGTTGACCGCTTCTGTGAAGACCTACAACATCTTATAGAACTAACACCAAAAAATGATGTCCTTATCATGGGAGATTGAAATGCTAAAGTAGGAAGTCAAATGATAACCAGAACAGGCAAGTTTGCCCTTGGAGTACAAAATGAAGCAGGGCAAAGGCTAGCAGAGTGTTGTCAAGAGAACACACTGGTCACAGCACTCTTCCAACAACCCAAGAGACAACTCTACACATGGACATCACCAGGTCAACACAGAAATCAGATTATGTGCTCTGCAGCCAAAGATGGAGAAGCTCTATCCAATCAGTACAAACAAGACCTGGAGCTGACTGTGGCTCAGATCATGAGCTTCTTGTTGCAAAATTCAGGCTTAAATTGAAGAAAGTAGGGAAAAGCATTAGGCCAGTCAGGTATGACCTAAATAATATTCCTTATGAATATATAGTGAAGGTGAAAAATAGATTTAAGGAATTAGATCTGATAGACAGATTGCCTGAAGAACTATGGATGGAGGTTCGCAACACTGTACAGGAGGTAGCAACTATAACCATCTCAAAGAAAAAGAAATGCAAGAAAGCAAAATGGCTGTCTAAGAAGGCTTTACAAATAGCTGAGGAAAGAAGGGAAGCGAAAGACAAGGGAGAAAGGGAAAGATACACCCAAGTGAATGCAGAATTCTAGTGAATATCTAGAAGACACGTAAGACCTTGTTATATGAACAGTGCAAAGAAATAGAGAAAAACAAACGGAATGGGAAAGAGATAGAGTTCTCTTCAAGAAAATAAGAGGTATCAAGGGAATGTTTCATGCAAAGAGGGCATGATAAAGGACAAAAATGGCATGGACTTAACAGAGGCAGAGAAGATTAAAAGAACTATACAAGAAAGATCTTAATATCCCTGATAACCACAATGGTGTTATCACTGACCTCCAGCCAGACATCCTGAAGTGTGAAGTCAAATGGGCTTTGGGAAGTCTGAGCTACAACAAAGCTAGTGGAGGAGACAGTGTTCTAGCTGAACTATTCAAAATCCTAAAAGATGATGCAGTTAAAGTGCTACACTCAATATGCCAGCAATTTGGAAAACTCAACAGTGGCCACACAATTGGAAAAGGTCAGTTTGCATTCCAATCCCAAAGAAGAACAATGCCAAAGAACTTTCAAACTACCATACAATTTTGCTCATTTCACACACTAGCAAAGTTATGCTCAAAATCCTACAAGCTAGGCATCAGTAGTGTGTAGACCAAGAACTACCAGAAGTGCAAATGGGGTTTTGCAGAGGCAGAGAAACTAGAAATCAAATTGCCAACATATGCTGGATCATGGAGAAAGCTAGGGAGTTCCAGAAAAATATCTACTTTTGCTTCATTGACTATGGTAAAGCCTTTGATTGTGTAGATCACAATGAATTGTAGCAAATTCTTAAAGAGATGGGAGTACAGATCATCTTATTTGTCTCTTGAGAAACTTGTATGTGGGTCAAGAAGGAACAGTTAGAACTAGACATGGAACAACTAATTGGTTCAAAATTGGGAAAGGAGTATGGCAAGGCTGCATATGGATGTACTGATAGAGGCTTATGATAGTAGGTGAATTATATCATATTAAATTACTTCCCACCAGATGAACATAACCTTCTTAGGTAGATATAAACCCTTAAATGGAGCTCTTTGAATCTATTCAGTAACTATTTATATGCTTTAGAATAAATAAGAAAAAGCAAAGTAGCAACTAATATTTAATGAAACAATTATAACTCATGTCATTTCAAATATTTTTAATAGAATACAACACTGAGTTAAACAGAATAGTACAAACTTACATTTGCAAACTCTTCCAAATCACAAACGGCTTTATAGCCTGAGAACAACATAATTCTCTTTAAATTTAATTACAACAGATTTTAAGAAGAAATGGAGCTAGAAAATTACAGGTTGGCAAAAACTATATAACACCATTAGCAAAGATGTTTTGTTAGCACTTAGGTAGTTAGTTGCTCTTCCAGCATTGTAGAGTTCATTCCAAACTGTTTTCACAGTTAAGTATTGTGATTCAGTGTAAATTGAACACACCAGTATTTTTCTATGGAATATATTCAAGGAAAAGCTGATGCAGTTAGTTTATGCTATAAATTAAACAAGTTAACTTCTTTGCTGTATCTAAACAGCCATTATGGAAACCACTGGGTCCGCTCTTGAATAAGCACCCTAATCTGTCAGATGCAGCCAGCTAAAGTGTTTCCTCATGAGATCATCTCCTGACAGGGGAAAACTGAGCTTTACACTTAAAACTTAGGCCTCCTAGGTAACAGATCTATCCACATTTAAAACCTGGAGCAGAACTGCCAAAAGACCTCCTTTTTAAATAGCAAGGTAGAATTTTCCCCATCACATTTAGTAAATGAGTAAACTCTCCAAACTTCCACTTGACACAGCAGGCAGGAGTGCTTACTTAAGCAGGTTTTTTGCAGGAGCATATTATTCATCCACTAAAGTAGTAGAATGTTCAGAGTCATAGAAGGATGGATAACAGGTTCTCTTTTGAAAAATGGACAACTTGGAGAAAAGGATGGCACATTCCTATGCGTTTGATCTTTGGATAGATTTCAACTACTTCAAAGGAGTAGTTTGAAGTAGTTGAATAGTAGTATATCCAAAATAATTGTATGAAATACTTTTATTACAATATGAGAGGGATTAATGTATGCACTGATGCTCTATGTATGCATAAAAGAAAGGATCAGGTCTGTCCTGTCTATAAGTTAATATCCAAAACCACCTTTTTTCATTTGGGTGGAGCAACTAGCCCATTTCTGAATCCTTCCCATAGATGTATGACATGCTCAATCAGCACAATACTGGTATAAAAGAAAGCATCAGGAAAAATGTTTACACAGCAAGCCCTATTACTTCAGTCTTCCTGAACATACCTTCACACATACATCTGTCAACTCCAAGCTTTCTTTCTTCTCTAAAATTCTGCTTAGCAAAATATTCGCATAAGCCTGATCTTCTGAAAGATATCTATAGCCAACACTGTCACAACTTGTTTTGTAATTCACTTTGTTTACCATTTAGGCATTTTCGAAAGAAGACTTGAATCTGCTGCCAAGCATCCACCTGAGCTGCAGCATGAGCCCTGGGCTCCCCTCCCCAGATCACTGGCATACCCACCAAGAGATGCATTGAAGCTGGGCACATTGGTATATAGGGTGGTTCAATGTAATGACCTGCTCCAGGATAACAAATGATCTCTGGCTTTTCTTTTCCATGAGCCTGCAGATGGTTGGAGGCTTCGGTAGCAAAGAATTCACTTTTCCAGTTCCGATCATCCTTGCCTACAATGAAAAGGAAACGTCCCTCAGCCTTTTCCAGTGGAATAAAGCTTTGGCGGTCAGGACCCTCAAGGGGGTTATTCAGAACATCAACAATGTCAGCTATTCCAGTTTTATCCATTTTGATTCTCTTGGCATCAAATCCAAGGGGTGGAATGGTGATATCCTTGTAGCGCAGTGTTGCACCTACATTGGCTACAGAGCCATTAATTGTGACTGTCACAGTGACACCCTTTAAGAAAGAAGCCATGGAAAGACAGAGATCACCCCCTTTGGAGTGTCCAAGTAGCCCAATTCCTGGACCTTTAACCTGAAGGAGAAGAAACAAAGAAAGAAAATGGTCATAGGTGCATACATGCATCTTACCTACACATTAAGTGTACTGTGCATGCTAGTTAGCTTAAAATTTGGAACAGAGTAGCAGTTTACATTTCTATATATTGCATTTGTTGCAGTAACTGACCAAGAGCTCCCTGGTTTAGTTAACAGAAATTGAAATTCCTATGGTCTTTAATCTTTTGCTGTTGTTCTATTTTAGGAACTTAGGAATTAGGTTTAAAGTATTACTGCAGTACAAGTAACTATGTGAGATTCTTATTCAAAGAAGAGTGCAATGGGAAGTATCAAAGGTCAACCTAGTTAACACTCCTGAATCAGTAACTCAAGAGCTCTGAGAATAAGAATGTCGTGGAATTTATATTTCTGCCTATCCCTTAAGTAGGAGTAAAATAAAGCCCATCTTACCCAACAGTAAGCTTCCTGCATACTGAATTCTAAAAGTGACACAGTGCCCCTATACCATGTGGACATTGTCTCCATGATAGGGAAACTGCCCATCTTTAGCAGCTGTTCAAGTCTCAATAGCTCCTCCTGATCAAAAAATGGCACAGTCTACTCTGAACGCATGACAAAGGCTCTGAAAGCAACATGGAATCTGCTGTTAAACTTTCATTTGTGCTGGGCTCCCCTCCATGAGATGCACTGATCTGAGCAAACTGGCATAGGAGGTAGTACCGTGTAGTGTCCTGTTCCAGGATAACAAATTATTATTACTATTATTATTATTATTATTATTATTACATTTCTATGCCGCCCCTTGCCGAAGCCTCGGGGCGGCTTACAATACAATTATCTCTGCTTTTTGCCATGAGCCTGCAAATGGTTGAAGGTATTGGGAAAACACCTTGCTATTTTTTTGAAGGCCACCCATACACATGTTCCTACCTTTGGATGTTGCAGCATGTAATTTAAGGCTTCTTCAAAATACTCCAGGTGGAATTCCTTCATATTCTTAGGAAGATCTTCATAGCCATAATAGGCCAATGCTAACACGGCAAAGCCATGATTGGCCAGCAGACTTGCTCGGTATTCAGGAAGCCCTCCTCCAGTTCCATATATATCAATGATTCCAGGAAAGGGTCCATCACCTGCAAGAGACATAAAAGATGCAGCACCATATTTACTTAGACACATTTAGAATTCAATATCCTGTAAAAATGCCTACATCACATCAGAGGTACCAGCAGAACTACTATTAAAACTAATTCAAATGTCTCAAATGAGGAAGGCTTGCCAATACAACAGAAGAAACAAAAGCAGGGCCAACTCATCATTAGCCATAGTATAGCAAACAGTCTGAAAAAGTAGGCTCTGCCCTAAATATGCTTTCACCAGCTTTCTCAAATCTGACAACCTCACTGCTGGCTGGGAGATGCTAGGAGCTGTAGTCCCAGGTTTGGAAGACTGGCTTATATTACCACCACCAAGCACAGACTTTCTTTGTTCTGTAATAACAAACTCATATCATAAACCTTCTGGAATTATATATCTGTAAATGTACTGCAAAAAAACCATTCACAATGTCATACTCTTCCAGAGGTTTCTGTAAGATGATTGGGCAATTTTTCTATCTAGAAGTTATCACAGGTGCTTGGTTTTACGGTTCTCAAAACTGAATTTGCCTCTGCAGAGATCACATGCCTCTTGTTCATAGAAAAAATGTTGTAAAATAAACATACAAAGTTGAGAAAAAGACCTTAATCTCATCGTTCCTTTGCAAATCTATATACACAGAATTGACCCCTTACCTCTTAAGTGCTAAATTTTAAAAAAAATCAATGAATAAAAGATTGCTCAGAGCAGAATAGATCTGCACAAGAAGCTAATGTGAGAAGAGAGGGGCAAGCAGTAAAATGGAAAATGAAACCTTCTGAGAAGAATACTCCACATATTTTTGGATCTTTTTATGTATAGTCTGAGGTTTATTGTATTATTCTTTCTCTGGAGGAGAAAACCTATAATGGCAGCAGTTTGGAAATATTTTAACAAAGTTCCTTTACCTATGGGTAAGACAGGCACATGTGCAAAGTATGTAGATAACCATGATTTAATTCTAGTCTTACTAAATCCACCCTAATTTCTATTATATTTATTAAGGTATATAATCTTTGTAGACTACCCAGAAAGCTTCAGCTATTTCACAATGTGGAAATTCAATAAATGAATGAATGATTCTAACTAAATTTGTTTGTACAACTGTTGCTGTAAAGGCGTGATGCTTGAACGTTTGCACGACAGAACAAATCAATGGAGCTCTGCTAGTGCTATTCCAGTTTGCAGAATGATGCCCTTGGATATTGCCCACTGAAATTTATGAGGCTTAACTTCGATAAATACTGAATATGCAACCAGCTGGGCTGAGCAAGGAGGAAGAGGAACATTTCTGCTCAGGCATATTTATGAGTGAGGTGAGAAGTCTCAAGGCTCGCAAACGGACTACTTAAGACAAAGTACCGAAGTCTGACTTCGCGCCTTCGCTGCTGTAGACCAAGTCTTGTCGGTGCAGCCGGAGCAAGTATCACACTCACCAGAAGGCAGAAAAAGCGTAGCCCGGATGCTTCCGTCCCGCACCGGAATCCTCTTGACGTCGTCGCGCAGAAAGCAGCGCGCGTGGTCGCCCTTAGCCAGCAGGCTGCCGGACTCTCCGTGACCTTCCAGCACTTCCAACTCAAGAATGAGGGGGCGCCGCACATCGCGTTTTATCAGTCGCTTGAAAGGCGTCTGCGGCTTCAGCGACCACAGCAGCCCCATCGGCTCCAGGCCGGAGAAGCTGCCGCCCTCCAGCGCCGGCGAACGGTTCAGATCAAGATAGCCGTCTGTGTCTGCCTGGTAGAAGGCCCGCGTGTCGAAAAGCTCCCCCGTTTCGTCCTGCAGCGAAGCCCGAAGGGTGACCTCCTGCTCGGGACGCAGGCCCTCAACCAAAATGGCGAGCGGCTCATCGAAGAGGCTAGAGCCGGAGGGAGAAAACCCAAGTGCGACCTCCATGGGGAGGGCGGAGAACGCGGCGCTTTGCGTCCGCCAGCCGGCGCTGCAGCGGGCGACGCAGTTGGGCAACAGCCTCGTTGGCAAAGCGCGGCCTGGGCTCGCTCGAAAGAGTCGGTATGCAAAAGAGAGCATGGCTGGCGGAACCTCGCTTACGCGCAGGGTAAACCAATAGAGTGCCGCCTGCGCAAGTTCGGTGAGGAAACAGAATCAGTTTTGTCGGCTGGCGGTGGTCTTGCCTGTACTCTTTGTACTGTCAAATCCGCTCCTGCTTCCGGCGCACAACAACTTTGTAATCCTGAACGCACCGGCGATCTCCAATTCAGTTCAACAGAGTTTGCAAAGTCACCGATGGCACTTAAAATGACACCGAAACGCAAAGGTTGCCGTTTTGGCTATACACACAAATTCCATATTAGTGTAATAGCTTTATGCCAACGAAAAGACTACAAAAACCTACAAGCTTTGGGGACTTGAAGGTCTCTCTATAGGCAAGATGTGATAAAAAGCAGGTTGGGAGATGGAGAGAAGGTGGGAGGAGCTGAAAGCGGACTTCTTGAAATGTGATGTCAGCATGAGATGGATCGGAAGAGGGAGGGTGTACAAACTCAACCAAGACTACAAAACAGGCGATGTGGTTTCCAGTTTTGCCTGCCTTTGCTGGAGCTGCCCCAGCTAGGAGGGAAAATGCCAAATTTTTGACATTTCTGAATAAGCAAATATATTTTATATTTTCAAAAGTGGAGAATCAAGCATTTGCCTTTCTCCCCAGGAGGGATCTGGAGATTTCAAAAGCTTGCACATTTTTAAAATATTTTTATTGGCCTAATAAAGGTATTATGCTAATAAGGATCTTAAGGTTTGGAAACGGATGTTGTGCTTCTGAACACGTTTATATATATATACCTCTTTAAAATGTATGTTTTCTTGTTGATTGAATAATTTGTTTTATGTTGGAAATCATTAAACATTACTGGTTTCAAAGGAAAAGCTCATTTGGAATTAAATTTCATTTACTTTAATGTTTGCAAATCTTTTTCTAATGGTATATGTCTGGCTGTAAAGGAAGATCGTTCTCCCTTTAGATTTTGTAATGAAACAAAAGAAAAATAAAATTTAAAGTCTATTTATAAAATGTTTGCAACTATACAGTCCATTAGAATAAAAAATTGAAAAGAAAAATGGGACAATACATTTATTAGGGCCAACCCCAAAGTTGTAAATACATCCACAAGTCTTCTTCAGGCTGGAAATTACATCAAACAAGAATGGCAGAAAGGGGTACAATAACAAAAATGATGGGTTGAAGCTTACTAGAAAAATCCCTTTGTGGGCCATGGTGTCATTTTAGAAACATCAGGTATATAACATTTTATGACTAATGGGACTATGTATGAAATGGGAAATGTGTATGGGAAGAGGTTTGACTTACAAATTTGTACTGGCCCCAAAAATCATGTTTGAGCCCTTTGTGCAAGAAAGCCCATAATAAATGTTTGAAAGTCTTCACAACATTCCCAGACTAGGCTGGGAAGAACCACCCAGGTGAACTGCATTTCTACTAATGCTTATCCAAATGCTGAACATTACCATTTCACTTAGATCTCTCAAACCTAGAGATCATCTAATCCCCATCACAAAGTAGCATCCCTCCCTTTTGGCCAAGTTTATCCTACTTGATAATGTCTTCCTCTTATTTCAGCCAAGTGCAGACACCCATCTGAGATCTGTCACCACCCCTTCCCCTCAGCCACATCTGGATACCTGTCAGCTTTCTGCCATAGAGAAGGCGGGATTCCCTTCTCACCGATGTAGTGATCAGGTTTACATAATATGCTAAACCACTAGGGAGCGCCTTAGCAAGTGATCTGAACACCATCTCTTCGCATGGGGAGGCTTATAACCAACCAAATAGCCCTGTGGCTTACCATGTCAGCAGGACCCTAGTTGTCATGTTAACCTGCATAGAGAGATTACTTTTTTGCTGTTCTGGCAATGGGGCTTTTTAGCTCAGGACAACCAACCAAGTGGCTGAGTGGCAATTTGTGTGGCTGTCATTGGTTTTCCACCATACTACTGCTGATGCTGAGAGTGTGTTCATGAATGATTCTGCACCCACCCCAGCATCAACAGTAATCCTCATGCTGCTTAGTTACTCCCTGGAGCCTGGTAGGCAATATGTGGCAGGGGAACAGGCTCTTAGCCTCACTTCTTCAGAAGGATCCAGCCTACTTACTGTCATCACTGCAGTGGTAGGTAAGAAGGACCCTGCTTGTCCTCTTGGAGAGCTTCCTACCTGTTGTGGGGAAAGGGGGAATCAGAATAGAAGGCATCTTCCTTGGTGGAACCAATGCACACCCACCAGGCAAGGGAGGGTCACAAGCTGTGCAGTGCTGGCTCAGAGAAAAGCAGCTGCTATCCCATGCTAGCCAGTACAGTTACCTTGCGACCAGGCTAACCAGTATGAAGGGGAAGAGGCAGTTCCGCCCCAGTCCCCTCGCACATGGCTGGCTGGCTGGCTTCCTTCCTTCCTTCCTTCCTTCCTTCCTAGTGTCATTATGGACATAATTTCATTTTTATACTGCCCCATAGCTGAATCTCTGTGATTGGTTTGCAATGGTAAAACAATAAAATACAAATACTATAAAAAACAATGTTAAAATGAATTTAAAATAGCTTTAAAATGCAGTAAAAAGACCCAGCGAAGAAGAATCACCTGCATAACTAAGGAGATCTTTAAAGGGCTGTCTTGGCCTGGCACTGAAAAGTATCAGATGGGCACCAGCAGGGAGATCACTGCAAAGATGAGGGGTCACCACAGAAAAGGCCTCCCTTGTTACTATCCTCAAAGTACCATGTGAGGTTGGCACTCAGCAGAAGTCCCCAGATGTTGAGCATAGTGTCCAGGTAGATCACAGTTGGGAGGTGCTCTGGCAGGTATTGTGGTCCTAAGATGTGTGGGGCATTATAGGTTAAAATCAGCACCTTGAATTGGGCCCAGAAGTACGAGTATACAGGTAGCCAATGTAGGAGGGCCAGAACTAGTCTTACAAGTTCAGAGCTATGGGTTGCAGTTATTAATCTGGCTACTGTATTCTGTACCAGCTGCAGCTTCTGAACCATCTTCAAGGGCAGCCCCACATAGAGTGCATTGCAGTCATCTAATTAGAGATTTCCAGAGCATAGATTACTGAAGCCAGGCTACCTCTGTTCAGATAGAGGCATAGTTAGACCACCAGCCAAAGCTGGTAGAAGGCACTCCAAGCCACTGAAGCCACTTGAGCCTCAAGTGACAAAGATGGCTCAAGGAACACTCTCAAGCAACATACCTGCTGCTTTAGAGGGAGTGCAGCCCCTTCTGGAACAGGTTGAACACTCACCATCTGGCCAAGGGAACCACCCACCAACAGCATCTCAGTCATGTCTGGACTGAACTTCAGTTTGTTGACCCTTACCCAGTCCATTGTCGCAGCCAGGCACTGGTTTAACACATCTGTCTTTACTATTGGTGATGCTTGTCTTCTGGGTTTTTTTTGTTTTTGTTTTTTGTTTGTTAAAAAATATATTTTGTTAAACAGAACTTGTTAGCTATCTGGGGGCTGCACTGTAGAGTGGAAAGGCAGAACAAAATATTTTCATAAATAAGTATGTCATAGGTGGTGTTTCTACCCACCCCCAACTAGTATGTGTGTGTGTGTGTGTATTGACAGAATACCTATAAAGCAAGTTATGACAGCAATATTTCTATAGAAGAGGGTTGCATAATACTGTGTTGCACACTCATAGTCTATATGATTGGACCTATATATCTTTTTCAAATATTGTTTGAAAGCAGCTTATAAAGCATTTTGAATACACAGTACATAAGTGTTGCATCTTTAAAAAAATCCCACCACAGTCTCACAATGCTCCTGTATGGTCTCTAAAATGATTTCAGCCACCTAGTTCTTCCCAGGGAAGCTTTTGTGAGTGGGAAAGGCTCAGTCCAGCCAAGGCACATAGCAGTGGATGCTGTTGCTGGCCTGGGTTCACTTCTTTGGCTCCCTTGAGGATGTTTGAAACCTAAAAAGCACAAACATCCCAAAATCAGTAACAAGTACCATACAAAAGTATTCCTGATAGGCAGATCTACATGTAGATGTTTTCTTACCACTGGACCTTCACTGAAACCCAAGCATTTTTCAGAAGTTGTACAAGTTATTGCTATATGAGATATATTTCATTATCCAGACATGCCCAGTATGAACTGGGCATCGTGGCATGAGTTCTAATTCTACTCTGAAAAAGAATTATTATTTTGTTTTACCCCAATTATTTTTAATTAGTCTTAATTGCATTTCTCATCATTTTTTTCTAAAGCCATTTTTAAAACAAATTGTTGGAGCTAAAATGAGTGAAAAACACCTATCTAGCTAGAGTAAAATTAAAACTCATGACCTTTAATTTAATGGGCACTGAAGTGCTGAGTTGGGCCAGCAAGATGCTCTATTTCATTATCTCATTCTAAATTGTGGTTAGTTGCTCAGGGAGTTTTGCCATTTAATGGTATAGGAATCCAATAAACAAATAAATAACAGTGCCTAAAGGAACTGGTTCTCCAAAAGAACACCCTCACCTCTTAGATCCTCTAAAAGGGAGACGGGGAACCTCTGGCTCAGGGCATTATGCACCTTCCTCCTTAAGTTTCTCTGGCCCTCAGATATTTCCAAGAGCCCTTCCTCATCCCCATATACCTAAGGAGGGGCAGGCAAGGAGAGCATTTGGTTGGCTATTGCTTCTGGAAGAACCACCACTACAACCACCTACTAGCACTGGTACCCAACAGTCCCCTAACAGCTTTCCTGAAAGGACCGGCAACAATGAGCACCTTCCAGCAGTGGCATTCATCATCATCCTTCACTCTGCTGGGACAGGAAGGGTTGTGTTTCACCCCCCTGCCCCCCCTAGAGATAACTGTAGGATTGTTCCTTTTAATCAGCGTAACTATGATGCAGTGCCAGTCACCACTTTGGATGGCTTTAAAAGGTGATTGGACAAATTCATGGACAACATGGCTATACATGCTTACTAATTCCAAAAGGTACCATATTTTTCTGTCTCTAAGACACCCCCATGTATAGGATGCCCCCACTTTTCCTACCCATCTCCAGCGAGCAAGCTGCTGCCGCGCGTATGCCACTTTGCCACTTCCCCGCAGCGCCTCGCTGCCCCCCATGCCGCTTCACTGCCCCCTCACCCACGTGCCACCACGCGCTCGCCGCCTCCCCCGCATGCCACCCCTGCCTGTGCTCTCCACCCCACCTACGCACTGCCCCCTGCGCACCAGTCTCCTCGCCCCAGCGCCCCCCCCCCGTGTATAAGACGCACCTTCATTTTTAAGTAAATGTTTTTAAGAAAAAGTAGCATCTTATACACGGAAACATACGGTACATGCTGACTCCAGTATCAGAGGCACTATGCCTATCTACACTAGTGACTGAGGAACATGGGTGGGACAATGTTCTTGCACTCAGATCCTGCCTATGAGCTTCCTGCGGGCAGCTGGTTGGCCAGGGTGTGAACAGAGTCCTGGACTAAATGGGTTCTTGGTGTGATCAGCACAGCTCTTCTTAGTTCGGTGGGTCCTATTACTGCCCCCCACCCAGCCAGGATGTTGCAGCCCATGATACAAAGATTCTCTGTACATAATACTCTCGAAGCAGGAAATGGATGCAGTGAATAACCAGTCATATTGCTGGAAATAACAATGGTTTGTTATGCTTAGCAAATAACAATGGTTTGTTAAAACTGACAAATCAAAACTGGCAGAATATACATGCATCATCTGTAGCCCAGCAACAACTGTAAACAGCCTGTGGAGGCAAGAAGCTGAATTCTATTATAGAAGGGAGTGGAACTGGCTTGTACCATACATGTCCATCTCTGCGAGAGAACCTTTCTGAAAGGTAAACACAATGCCTTTCTACTTTCTTAAGAAGAGAAATATGTGGAATTTGAATGATCCAAGCTGTGTTTTTGATAACTGACAGGGATATTAAACTGGCTAAATACTGGGGGTTCAGTTTATGGAAAAAATCTGGAGGGCCTTGTACAAGATTTCATTTAAGATTTTCAGATTTCAGCTAAATGGATGGCATGAGTGAATAAAGCCTATGGAGATTTATCATTGCATAAGGGTTAAGAAAACATTTACAAACAGTAAGTGGGGAGGACTAAAGGAAAAATAGAAGAGGCTATTAGAGGCTTGGATAAATGATTGTGCAGTGTTAGTTAACAAAGTCAGTGTTCAATACAGCTTAAAGTTTCTAAGCATTGCTTTAAGGCTAAGCAAGACTATGGTGTTCCTAGAGACAAATATCCTAAAATCGTTCCCCCTAGGACAAGTGTTATGTCAGCTTCACTTGGGACTGAGGGGTGCAGGTTGCTAGAAAGGCAATGTATGTGGATAGGAACAGAATAAATGTGCATGGACGGCAACAGGATGGGAATCATTACTGTCAGCATAATACATGTTGTGCAGTCCTATTTGTCATTGGGAAAAATAATTTGGTGTAAGTGGGGGAAAAGAGATGCTGGTTATCATATTTTATTGTGCACACATGTAAGTTATCCTTTGTTTATTGTCAGAGAGTTATGACACCATTCTAATTATGTTTACTTGGAAAAATTTTAATGGGGCTGCCTTCCAAATTAGCATGCTGTAGGATTGTAGGCATCAGAATGGTTTAATACAGGCAAGAACATTTGTAGGTTGTAGTGAAGCACAACAGGCTACAGAGAAAGCAAGACTCCTTGAATCACAAGCCCTGCCAACCTGATTGTACTATCAACTAAAAACAAAGTCGTAACACTTCTGGAGCATCCATGATAAAGGCAGCACTGTGGGTCTTTCCAGAAAGCAGGCTCCTAGAACTAAAACCAAGCACTAATATTGTGCAGCAATTCCATCTTAATTTCCTTAGAAGATTTTCTGAAGTCTCTGTTGGCCAAGGGATGTGGTGACTTTATGGGTAATAAATTGCTAGTACTGCTTTAATTTGTATGTAGAGTAGGTGGGCAAGTTAGTGGCTTGCCATTTTTTTCCTGCATCACATATATTCACCATGTAGATCGAGTGACATCAGCATTCTATAATAACAGGCTCTTTGGGGAGGTAGCATAACTTTGCTCTTTTTTGTTTAAATCTTAAATTGTCTTTTAATTTTATGCAATTAGTCTTTATTTTCCTTTTGCTTTCCAGGAAATGCTCTATTGTCTTCTCAGGAAACAGTGGACTTCCATTTCTTTGCGCATCTATTCAATGGTGGATGGTTTTGTTTTGTTGTTTTAATGTTCCATAAAAAACTAGCCACATGTGAGGAACCTTGCCAGTTTTGAAAAGATGGAAGTATCTGCTTTTTTCAAGAGCAAAAATCCCTTCCCCCTTGAATCTAGTCTGAAGTTTAAAGTTGAAAGGAAGAACTTACCTTCTCACAATGCCATGGTTTCTTCCGCAAGGGCCACATTGCCTTTAATATATCAGAACGATGTTTGCCGTGCCAAGTGGCACTATGCATGCTACAAAAAAGAGTGCTTTAAGAAAGTTGCTCAGGACCTTCATTTTGCAAAAGATGTTGTTAAGCACAGAGTGCCCTCAGCTGTGCCTTATAAGGAATATAACCACATGCACCTATATGATTTTTCCAGTTTTATGCAACCACAAGTAAATGTAAAAATTATTTCTAAGAAGCAGCCAAGGAAGCTCAAACCATTGAGGAGAGTGCCTTTCAGAATGAAATCAGACATTGCTTCTACCAAGCATGTCACCACCACAAATGCTCCTGTGTCTTTGGAAGAAAGCATTTGGAAAGCCAGGGAAGAAAGTACATTTGCAGAGCCACATCTGCTGGTACCTATTCCTTCTCCTCCACCTCCGCCTCCGCCTCCTCTTCCACCTACTTGTGAGCCTCTGTACAGACAAGCGTTCCTGACTGAAGTTCAGGAACCATTAAGAGGCACAATGAACAAAAGATCAGCAAAATTCACAACAATCCGGGGTACCACAGTCCCTGAACTAGAGCATAAAGACCTGGGATGGGAAGAAAAACTGTTGACAAAGTTAAGCAAAGCTACAGCTCAGTGGATTGTGAATAATCAGCCCTCTTGGGGAGGCTGGATTCAGGGTAAGCCACAGGGTTTCAAGAGGCAAAAATATGACTGGAATAGTATCAGGTATGTACTGCCTTTTGAACGTGATGTGGAATTACTGGATGAAATTCAGGCGGAGGAGAATGTTGTGGAAAGTTGTATTCAAAGCCAAGAAGCAAAGCAACAAGAGATGCCTCTCCCTGCCTATTATAGGTAAGATGTGTGACTGTTTGATGGAAGCTGTGAAAATGAATTACATTTTGAAACGGATCTTGTTGGATTAGACCCAGTGCTGTTTGCTTGTCAGCAGAACTGGGAGGGGATGATTCATCCTCTCCCTCACAGCTTCTGCATGTGCTCTGGAGGTCTGAGAAACATTCCAGAGCGGAGTTTCAGGTAGTGCCGAGGACTGCAGGGAGAAAGAAGGAGGGAGAACATCCTGTTGTACTAGCAGACTAGCAGCATGATGTTGGATTTAACCCATATCTTGGAAAGCCTATTAAATGAAATTTACTTCCATGCATGGGGTAATGAACTCAAACTTAACAGTACTCATTTTACAGTATTTTAATAGGCCAGTTTCCTGTTCCTTTCATATTATTTTCACTTGAGAGATGCAGGGGCAAAGCATTCTTTTCTCTGATGCCCCTCTGCCTATTCTGTGGATAATTAACCAAGTAACCTAATATCAGCATTGTGTTGAATGCCCTTTGACTGATGATTGGTGCCATGATTACCATTTTTCCGTTAAGGCACAAAGCTCAACATTAGCTCCTGAGGTAACATTAGTTACTAGAATTAACAGCTTGGCTGGCATCCCTATTCAGAACTCTTCTCATAAGAGCACAAGAAGAGCCGTAATACTGAATCAGAGAAAAGACTAAGGGACGATGGCAACACTAGAAAAGAAAGAGCAAAGCGTGGTCTGTCCTACATGAAAATGCTTGAGGTGGGCAGAAATATTGTCTGCAGGAGAGAAAAGGTAGCAGTAATTTTTAAAGGAAAACATCTACCCAACTTTTCTAATTTGCAACACTCCTTTTGAAAAATTCTAGTATTATCATAATGTATGGCTAGGATTCTTTATTAAGATTTCTTAACAACCAGATATAGATAGGACTGCATTGCTGCTGGCTGAAGGAGTAAACTACTAATTTAAAAAAGTAATGTTTAAAGCATATTTACTTGGTAATAAGTCTTGTGTTCATTTATTCCCTTCACATGTTAACTGTGTGAAAAGGTGGGCATAATTAAAGGGCCAGAGAGGCAACCTGCTTAGGACTGTTGGCTTCTGCCCTGACTCCAGCCTTAGCTACAGTCCGGGCTCTGAGCCCAGGAGCCACCCAGGTACTCAGAGTTTTTTATTTCTGAAGTGTATAAGCCATCCTATCTGATGGGCCACATTGCTGAATTGCAAGTTGTCCAGTGTCCTCTCTTTAAGCACTGATGGATTCACTTCTGTTGCCAAATGTGTGAAGCATGTTTCTCCATCTCCCAGGACACCATCTTTCCACACAAGAGTGCTGCGCCTAGATGACCCAACTGCTAGAAACCAAACAGCAGATATAATACCAGAGAAGAGTCTCAAACCGGTATTCCCTATCAAACATCATGAGAGACTGAACTCTCGAGTTGGGAAATACTCTTATACCACCCAGAATGTCTTTGAGCAAGATCTCTATTTTGGTAGGACCATCTGTAAATCTTTGGCTTAGCCTTACGTAGGGATGGGGGGATGATCCAAGCATTATTTGGGTCCAAGATTAGCTAAGCAAAGCTCAACAATGCTGAATCAAATATGCATGACAAATATTGTAAAAGCTATACTTGTTAATACAATCACACTTTAATAATTTCTAGAGGTGCTTAGTAGCCTGTGTACATACTATAATTCTTTATCATTCCATCCTAAGTTGCTCTGTTGGCACTTTTCTGAGCCTAGAAGTAAGGGGAAATAGTTTGCACTTGTGTATAATGCTTATCTCAACTTTGTTTCAATTGCTGAACCACTCTGAGAAAACATGTTCGGCCGAGACATAATTTCTGCCCAGGCATGGCTGGCTGAGGCATGCTGGGAGTTACAGTTATTTGGAGAACATCAGGTTGCATGAGACCGCACTAAGCCTTGTGGTTGAGCAGTGATTTGAACTCAGGACACCCTGACTAACTTTCTAACTGCTACACAATACCAGCTTTCATATATATTTACATTTTTTGACATCAGCAACTGACTCAGCAATGTTATTTCCCACCTGAGGGTTTTTCCTGTGCCTTTGTATTTTTTTAGGGTCAGCCAGAATTGTTCATCAAGAGACCAAGAAGGATTGTTTGGTTATGGATAATCATGATGAATATTACAAACACCTTGAGCAATGCTACCCAAGACCTCCTGAGCTCTGGAGTTTCAGGCCACCAAAAAAGACAAGTAAGGAAAAATTGTTTTCTAACATTAAAAATGTAGCAGCGACTACATTTAACAACAACTAATAGCGATAGTTCTAAATATGTTTATTTGGATGTAAACACTGTGCCTTCCTTTGAAGAAAACATTTTTAGAATTATAGTGGGACACTGTTAACTAATGAGTGTTTCTGGAAATCATTTTTTAGCTTGAGCAATAATGGAAAGGAAGAAAGTCCCATAAATTAGTATGAACATACCTTCATATTCACAAAACATTAAAACCTGCAAGAAATAGGAGTCTTAGAGCTCTGTTAGATTGTCAATGTTTCCTGTCACATTAGGCCTATATACACAAATACATATTTATTACCATTTGTATTTTTCCAAACTGCTGAAACAATGTTTGTAGCATAATTAGTTCACACACTTTATTTTGTGATTTTCCATCCATTTAATTTCATGTGCAGTTATTCAAAGAGAGACCCACCTACTTTCCCTCAGTAAAGGAGTCATTATGAGATGGGCTACTTATCTTACTTGTACATTAGGCAAAGCCATGTGAGTTAATATTGTCTTTTGTATTTCTATGGAATGCACCTCTTTCCACCAGCTGTGATTCTGGCTGCTGTACAGAAACAGCTTTCCTCCAAAAGGTTGTACCACACAAAACAGCACTGTTTCTTTTTGCTCCTTTTCCCCTCAGTCTGGTAGGCAGGATGGAAAGGGAGGCCAGCTCTTCCACAAGACATTTTACTGCCTGAGGCAAAAGCACAACATGACTTCCTCTCTCTTACACTGGCTGCTGAATCTTACTACAGTGCTGTTGAGAGTGATGCCTCCCACTGCACCTGAGGGCAGAAGGCTAAATTGAGGGAACACAGAGCAAGTCACATGAGCACACGACTGTAGCCTCCTTGCACCTCTCCACGTTGCAGCATCTGATAACCAAGGCAGCTGCCTCACTCTGCCCAATGGGAGGGCTGCCCCTGCTATCTGTAGCTACTGACAGCATTAAGTGATTTCTCAAGAGGATTAATGTAGTGGATTAATCCTGGCTTTAACTGATTGCTGTAGTGGATCCCATTCAGAGCATCCTATACAGAGCAGGAGAAGTAGAGGCAATCTTTCCCTCCCTGTTCTCCTACCCAGCATTTAACAGAGTTGTTTACCCATGTAGCTAGAAAGTCTTGGAAGGGAAGGAAAGGACGGAGGAGCAGCTGTTGCAGGATACCTCTCCATCTCCTCCCATCCCCACCCTAAAATGCTTTCCTGACTTGGAAAGCAGCTGCTGGAGTTCTTTTAGCTCTAATTCCCAGCTCCAAGGTCAGAGCTCTGTTTCCAGATGTTGGTAATGAAGAAAGCCTTTACACTTGGTGTGCTTTCCAAGGATTGGGTGGCACCAACTCTTTGGATGAGGACAGTGAGGGCTAGGAAACATGGTCTGGAGACATAGAAATGGTGGAGGAGGGAGAGCTTATCTCAAGGCTGTCTTCTCCAGGTGTTCAGGTGCAGAGTTTGGGAACTAACAGGGTGTGGAAGTGCAGGGAGGGGTTATGGGAGGGGGGAAAGAGGAACTTGGTTTGATTCCTGACCCCATGATGAGAAGGTCTAGCTAACTATAGGGTCTGGGTCGATCTAGGAGACTAGCTGTTCTCCAGGGGTGAACCCAGAGGGGTGGAGCCCAAGATTAGTGAAAAGGAGGGTGCTTGGAAATAGTGTCTAGTTTGGGTTCAGTGAACTGCTCTGTTCCTGCTGAGAGACTCTTCCTCTGTTGGCTATTAGTTTGTTGGCTGTACAACCAACCTTTGTCAAAGAACCGTCTGTTGCTTGAAAGGTCAAAGGGGGGAACCCAGCTCCTAACACCAGTCTTGTAGCTGGGAATCTAAACTATCCTATCCCCTCCCCCCACCCAATGTTAGCTTGTTTAATTGATCTATCTGAATTAATTTATGTCTTGATCATTGAGCCATCAGCTAAATTTTGTTGTTACATGCAGTCACCGGGTTTCTTCCTTTCCTCCTTTGTCTAATTCTAATAAGAGTTTTAAATATATGTTTACAGCTGAAAAGCACATTACTTCATGTATCAAAGCTCCCAAATACCCAAATTCTCTGTGTTCTTGCATGTTAACTTTATGAAAGAGGATTCCTGTTGATCCAGACATTTACTGTGTAAACCATACTTAACTATTTGGATATTGACAGTTTTCTTTAATTCATTGGCTATAATTTGAAGGGAACCTAGAGAAGGCAAATTTTCTTGTTAGGTCTTGATTGCTGTATTCATTCACGTCTTTATTATTGTGGCACTGGCCAGGGCGACTTATTTTATATTGTTAATTTGTTTTATATTTTTAATGTATTATATTTTAATTTACGTTGTGAGCCGCCCCGAGGCTTCGGCGAATGGGGCGGCATAGAAATGTTTTAAATAAATAAATAAATAAATACAATAATATGGACAGCTACAAATCTGTAGCCTGTTTCCATTAAAATTCTGTTGTATCAGTTCAAAGGGTGCAAAAGGGAGCCATCCACTGGACAGCACCTCCCACCCTCATTGAAGACTTTGCTAAAACGGGAGAGGTTCAACTCTCTGTACCACCTGGGAAGAAAAGAAAGTGCCAAAGGAGACCTGAAGAAGATGTACCTGAGGAGATTCTTATCCGCAGGACTATGCTGCAACAGTGGAAGGCTGCTTGGAAATATGGTGGGTATTCCAATCATGTGGGCAATAGTACACTCAAATTCATGGCCATTTTCCTGTTTATTTCCATTACAATTGCCAGTCATGGCTGCTTTGGTGGCTCATATGAAAAGAGATAGCAGTCTCATAGCTCTGCCATGAATAATATTTCCCTCCCTTTCTTGTTTTTGTGATTTTTTCCTACTCAATGCTTAGATCCTCGGTGGCAGTCAGCAACTATAGAAGGATTAATTAGAGATCTAGTAGATGTGCATGTTCATAACCGGATCAATGCGATACTTATGTGTGCATCTGCTGTGCTTGAACAGTCTCAAGCAGTCCAAGAAATAAGTCAGGAGACAGGTATGAGCTGCCTTTACTGGAAATAGCTATCATTTAAGTTTTGTTTCTCTGGTATTGCTCTGGTATTGCAAATCCTGCTCTGGTATTGCAATAAGTAAGTAAGTATGTATGTATGTATGTATGTATGTAAAACATTGGTATGCTGTCCAATTGTGCCACAGCAGCTCTGGGCGCCTCACAGTCACAAGATAAAACACAATAAAAACCAACTACAACATATTAAAATACAATGTCAATAAAATATGGACAAAAATATAAAACAGAAGGTCAAGTGGCATTAACTATTAAAATATTTTTTTTAAAGGAAGGTCTTTGCCTGGCACCGAAAAGAATATGAAGAAGGCACCAGACGAATTTCCTTGGGGAGTGCGTTCCAAATATGTGGAGCAGCTGCAGAAAAGGCCCTCCTCCTAGCAGCCACCCCTCTCACCTCCCGAAGGGATGACTCACACAGGAGGGCCCCCTGCATATATCTCAAAGGCTGGGTAGGCCCATATGGGGGCAGGCCCTCCTTAAGATAACCAGGGCCTAAGCCGTTTAGGGCTTTGTATGTCAACTCAAGCACCTTGAATTGGGCCCAGGCCACAATTGGTAACCAATGGAGTTCTTTCAATATCGGTGTTATGTGGGCTGCAAGTACATATATAGAATGGACAATTAATCAGTCAACCAAACAACCTCACATATTAAAATCTGCCATCATTTTGATGTAGCAGACATAAACATGTACATGTAAACGTTCTGATTTTCTCAGTAATAGGAATAGAAGCTGGTGCAAAGGTATTCACAACTGAGGATATACCAGAGAGAATCCAGCCTTTACTTCGAAATACTCTGTTTGATAAAGATGCCCATGTGAGAATGGCTGCTGCGGTGTGCTTTTATGCTATAGGGCAGAGTAATGAAAACGCACAGGCCATCATGAAGGATGCTCTGCTCAATGGTGAGGACAGTGACTTTTCTCTTTCATATCAAACGGTGCTTGTGGACACTTCTGTCTCCAAAACCACGGTAACATTTTCTTCAACAAAGAGTACTCAGATGTATGTCAGACTAAGTCCCTGATCCAGCTAAGGTTAGCTGTGACTAAGCCCCATTGGAAACAAAGGCCTTGGTTACTTATATCTAGCTAGAGATTAGATTAAGGCTTGGGGTTTAGATGTTTTACAATCAAGCCATGCTGCCCTGTCATGGATCAGACCAAAGACCAATCTCAGCCTTTCTCTGGTACTCTCCAGATGTGTTGCACTTCCAATCCCATAATCCTGCCATACATCTGGAAGGCACAAGTTAGGGAAGTCTGGCCTACTTCGTCGAGCCAGTTTTTCAGCCCCCTTGAGATGATCAGTCACAGAACTTTTGGACTGCAAACTCTTTGACAATACAAAGAAGAGTGTTAAACCTAAAGTGCAGTTTGTTTTTGCCTATTGGGTCAGCCAGGAATGGGCTCTCCTTTTTACTGCTTTAGCATGTTGCATCATGCAGTGATTCTGCTCTTGCTCTTAGGGAATAGTGCAGACAGCTGGACAGCATCTCAGGCCCTGGCACTGGAGGGCATGACCAGTTTCTCAGTTGTGAAGAGGATTCTGTCCCAAATTTTCAATCACACGGACAGTGCTGCAGAAGATCAGGCTGTTCTTCTGTTAACTCGGCTTAGCAAATGCACAGTAAGTGGCTCAGGAGAAAGGATTAGTTGAGGGCATAACTCTCATGGCCTACTGATACTTCTCTGGCTCAGCCTTGGCCATAACTGTTGAAGGCAGGCACTGAACACTGTTTAGGGCACAAGGTGTGCATGCTGCAGAAAAGGAAGATGCCGGACCTGTAGTGCAACACTAATTTGATTAGGGGCCAGCTCCAGCTTCCTTGTATAAAATCTCATGCTGGGCATTCTTTTGGGAAAGTATTTCATTATGGATAAATGGCCAGTTGTGTTTGATGCTCACACATTTTTCAGTGGGAAAGATGCAGAACCTTAAGCCCACAGGCTAAGCCCTGCCCATGCAGGGGCCACGTCCAGCCTCTCTAGTTTCCCAGATGGCCACACCCCCTTTTCTCCAGTCACTGAGTATCTGGTGGTTTTTCAGCAGTTGTTTACCTGTTCTGAAAGTTTGGAATGACTTTCCTAAGGTTTAGTAAGAAACAGAAAGAACTTCAGGCTAAAATGTGCTGGTATTTTGCCCCTGCTCCTTTTGCTTTTGGCCTCATCCACTGTGGGGATGCCATTGGAATTTGGCCTTGGGCTGAAGGAGGCCCTTCCCTTGCTCAGCAGAGAACTGATGAGAAAATTAAGTCCCCTTTCTGCCCTTTTTTTGAAGTTGGGTAGCCATATGTCCCCAATGTCAAGGAAAGGATGCCAATATATCACAGTACAAAGGAAATTTGCTGTGTTTAATCCTTGAAAATTCTTTGAAATTTTAACTGGAAATTCTGTATTTCAAGTTCATAGGAATATTCTGCTTGCTAGAAGACATCAGCTTGTGAGAAAACTGTCACCAAAAAGGATAGTTCACCATGGTTTTTATTTATTGTACTTTATATTTTATTATTGTAAGTTACTCTGAGAGTGCATCTATATCTGTATCTGCATCTGTATCCATAATCTCAAAACAAACAGCATGTCTTTGGAGCATCATAAATCAATCAGTTTCCAAAATCTTTGGAAAGGAGACTTTGCCTCCTAACCCGTTACTGCCTGTGTTGCATCTTGCCTAGGTATTACAGCCACTCTGTTTCTCCTGAGTTTGTCATTTCCCAAGTAAAACATTGTCTGATGGAAAATGTCTCATTGCAGTCTAGTTTGTTCATAGCAATTATTGTCATGTTTAACAACTGTTCCATTTCTTGCTTTATGGTTTTAGGTTTGCCTTGATTCATACTTCTCCCATTCCTCTTCCAGTTGTCTATGTTGTACTGCATTGAATATTCCTTTCACCTCTGTGCATGTCAGCCAGCAGACTTCCTTTAATTTAATCTAGTTCTGTTATTAGTGACAGTGCTACCTGCACTTTTCCTTTGCTCTTCCCCAGTAGTGGGTTGCATGCCTTCTGACCTCATCTTCTCATACTATAGGGTTTTCAAGCTAAGAAATATACAGAAGTGGTTTCCATTGCCACCTTCTGCACAGTACTAACCGGCATTAGCATGAGTGTCACAGAACGATCCTCCCCCAGTGTTGTCTGTGAAAGATTGTCCACCAGATTGCCCTCAACTACTGCGGCTGCTCAGTAGCTTCCCTTCAGGAGTTTCTTTGCCTCCATCATCATCAGAGATATCCATTCTCCTCTGATGATGCGACTATTGCCTATTGTGAACTTCCCAGTGAACTTTGGTGTCGGGAGGTATAGAATGTAAATAAATAACTCTTGAAGAAACTGGCTGCATCTTAATCTGGTGTCAGTTTTGACCATTCTGCCTTGGGTGACCCTGCTAGGAGACCAGCCTAGTGGTCTGGCCTCCTAGCACTCGCAGCTTCTCTGACACTCTCTGACCTCCTCACCACAACTAGGGTGTGCATCCAAGAGTGGGAAACATACCATACGTGTTAATAAAATAACAACTAGAAAGTAATTTCTTTAAAAAATACTTAATGCATTTTCATTAAAGCATAACGGGAAGTGGAGGCCACCTATCCTTCTGTGTGGTTATGCTTCCTCCTCTCTAAATAGATCCTGCATCTGTCATCTCTGTACTGAGTATCTTCTGCTATGTTTATTTGGCGCTTTTTGGCTTATCACTTATTGTTGTAACCTTTTCAGGGCTTGGTTCATTGTTTACTGGCAACTGAATTGAACAGCTACCAGTGGAAACGTCGGGTTTTGGCCTGTAAAACATTGTCTCGTATTCGTGGGAGTGTCAGTCAGGTATGGCTTTACCTCATGAATTTAACATGGGGGAAAAGTACTGGTAGTGCTGTTTTCTTGACATGGTCAAAGCTTACTAGAAATTCCATTCTTAGAGAGAGACATCTACCTGTTCTAAAAGAACTCTTTATTGCACAGTGTACCAAAAACATGAACGTCACACATACAAATTCAAGTTTTTATTTTTGTTTTTTCAATAAAGTTATTCAGAACATTGCAGTGTTTTAGGCTAATCAGAATATGTGTGTGTATTAACATGTATCAGTAAGCTGATGTCCAATAATTCTACACGGTATTTTGTGGGCACTAAAGTGAGAAAGAAGTGAAGGCACTAAAGTGAGACACTAAAGGGAGAAAGAAGTGTACTGTTCTAAAATGATGTTCAGTGTAAACAAATGTAAAGTGATGCAAGTTGAGGCAAAGAAATCCCAATTTCAGCTATAAGCTAATGGAATCTGTGCTAGTGGTGATTGATCAAAAATGAGATCTTGGCACTGTGGTGGGCAGTTCTATGAAATGTGTGGTTGCTCTGATGAAGGAAGATTCCATGTTAGGTGGTAACTGGGAAAACTGCCAAGATCATACTCCCCTTATATACATATCTAGAACATTGCATGCTGTTCTCATCACTGCACCTAAAAAAGGATGTTGTTGAGCTGGATTTATGCCACTTCCAGTAGTAAAGGCAATGTGCCGATATGCTCTGATTGCTGGGGACTATGGGTGGGAGGGTGGTGTTGTACTCATATCCTCCTGGTGGGTTTCCTGCAGGCAGCTGGTTTTGGCCACTGCATTAGTAGAATGCTGGATTAGATAGACCTTGGTCCAGCACAGCTCTTCTTATGGTCTCAAATAATTGGCTAGTATTTAACCTGCCCATCTAGCTGCATCAGAACAAGTAGCATTTGTAACTTCACATCCTTACTACTGATGAGAAGATGTTTACAGCTATATTAACTATATCAATCCTACTTTTAAATCAGTTTCCTACTGAACTTGTGGAATTTAAACAGACTGTAGCCACCTTATATAAAGCACAATATCAACAATGTGCCTCAGAAAGACACATGTAGATTTGAAGTCTAGAAAAATTCTGGAAAAAGAATATTGAATTAGAAAGCAAAACTGAAATAAGTGGTGCTAGTTACCTGTAGAGTTGTGCAGGACCGCTGAGCAGACAAGGTTTGCTCAATTCACAGATCAGAAAAGTAACTTTCAACAGAGCACAAATATATTTAAGCCATACTTTTATACAAAAAAACTGTGTGTGTACATGTGTCTTGCAGTTTGTCTCTCTACACCAGCTGCTTGGGAGATCAAGGGGTGCTGTTGCACTCGTGTACTTCTTGTGAGTTTCCTGTGGACCACCAGTGGCACTTTGTGAATAGAACACTGGATTAGATAAGCTCTTAGTCTGATCCAGCCTGGCTCCTCTTATGTTTTAACAAGGTCTTTTGAATCATGTCTATATCTTAATGCACCTGTTCTGCCTGAAGATACTTTAACTCTTGCTCCCCTACATAGGATCTCAAGAACAAAATTGTTCAGCTGATGTGGACAGATTGGAAATTTGACGTACGCCAGGCAGCTGCTAAGGCATTGGGACATCTGGAGCTTGGGAAAGAAGTTCATGACCAGCTCAGGTAAGAGCTATGCTGTGTAATAGCCATCTTAATCCCTAGAAAAATAGATGGATGCTTGCTCAGGCTAGCTGTTCATTTGGCATAGGAAACAGACAGCACAGATAAACAAATAAACTACTGCAATTTTTAAATGATGGGGCACTCTTCTTTCACTTATTTTTTTGCTTAGAGTATTTGTATACCTCTCTACACCCAAGCAGATAATGGAGCAGTGAACATTGTAAAGTTAAAACAAGGAGAATAATTAAGAGTGCAGTCGTATCAACTGTACCTTCTCCACTCGGAAGGCACCAGGCTTGCAGGGTTCCAAGCTTCCTGTGCCCTGTCAGGCTGAGGGCACTTTGGGAGAGGAAGGAAGGAGGCTCTACAAGGCTCAGGATAAATCGTATCTTGGCCTTTCCAGTCTCCTCCCTTCCTCCAGCACTAGAACACTCCTTTTCCTCCTCCTTTCAGGCCACTTTTCTGACCTCTGGGGGCAGTCAGTGAAGCTCTTTCTGTGCCAGCTGCAAAGGAGTGAATTTCTGACTCACCTTCTGCAGTCAGAGTGCTGTCTCCAAACTCAGAGGGATAGGTCCTATAGACCCTATGGCTGCTGGGTCTATAGATTACTCCTTTCATCAACACTTTTGTAGATTAATTTAGTATTCTCTTGTTAAAAATACAAGCAGGATAATGGTTAAAAAGTAGTTTTGATTATTTTAAAATGCACAAAAACCATGGTTTGATCCTAATTTTAGTGGTAGGAATATAATTTTAGTTATATGAGGAGAAGGCTTCCCAGCTTCCTCTTCCTTCTTCTGCACATACCTCCTGAAAATCTCTTCCTGAGGACTGGCAGGACCTTTGGAAGAGAATGGGGTGGGGGAACTGTGACAGGCAGGAATGTGGAATTGCCAGAAAGCAGATCCTCTCCATCCCACTTGCTAGTGGAAATGCCTTCTACTTCTGCGGCACCTGCTTTGATCCATGCCTAAGTTAAACAAGTTCTTTCGGAAATGCTGCTGCTGTAGATACATGTGTGCCATTCTTTAAGCTAATAAGCATGAGGATCCATATTATCGCTGATTCTGCTACACTAGAACAGTTGTAATTAATTGCCTTTGACTTTGCATAGGCTTGGCTTGGCTCCCAAGTCTGAATAGTCTTGGATGCACAACCAAGCTCAGCCACTGTTCGTTAAGGACTGACTTGTGCCTTCAGGGAGAGGTTGAAAAGAGGAAATTACCGGATGCGGGTGGAAGCTCTGTCATTGATTGGCTTGCTGAAACTCATGACAGCCAGATTGCTGCCTAGTTTTCTCCAGTGTTTCTCAGACAACTTTGTAGCCGTCCGAAAAGAAGCCTGCTGGGCAGCTGGAGTACTTAAGATTAAAGAAGAGACGGTGAGTGGTCAAAATGTCTAACACAGGCCTGAATTCAGGTAAGGAAAAACTCCACTCTTGTATAAAAGAATGGAATTAATCTCTGTAATCTTGGAAGCTACCCTCTTCTCCAGACAGCATCTGTGCTATTGGAATGACACTGTTGGATAAAAGCCATGCTTCTCAATACAGTCCTTCCTATAATAAATCATCTTGATAAATTAAGCCGCCCTCCCTGCAAACGCACACAGATATTGATGGTGTGTTGACATAATCTTCATGGATAATCAGACAACCCAATCCACCGATTGAGATCACTTTTCAGAACTGGTCTTCTGCCTGCATAGCTGATTTCTTTCTTCTTTCCTGCTTTTCCTTTCAAGGAACCCAAGGTGGCTTACATACTTTCCCTCCTCCTCTCAATTTTATCCTCACAATAATAACCCCATGAGGTAATTTGCTTGCGAGTCTGTGGCTAGCCCAAAGTTACTTACTGAGCTCAATACCAAGAACTCTTCACCACCATACCACATTGGCTCTCCACATTAGCTGATACGCCTCTGCATGTTGCATTCACATCTGGGCAAGTGACCCCATATCTGCACTGCAGTGTTCATTCAAAGTGGATGTGCCCTTGATGTTTTTAATGTAGATAGGGATGTGCATCTTCCACTGAAGCCAATATTTGTTACATGCGGCTTGGGCCAAATTGTTTGGGATTATCTAGCGGTCAGGACTTTACTTGCAAATGGTAGGCATGTCATGAGCAGAGCTGGCTGGAGTTGGGTTAGACTAGAAGGCCCAGGAGATTCCTTCTGACTCACTCTGTTTCTATGTGCTCACCTGGGGAAGGTTGACAGCTGCATAGTAAAGCATAGGAGCTATATATGCAGAAAGTCCAATTTCATTCCTTGGGCACTTGCTGTTAAAAGGGTATCAGGTGGTATAGCTGGGAAAGACCCTTGGATATTAGACTATACTAGTTGAATCAATGTTCCAATACAAGTTTAACAATGTTTCTTACATCCATAATATTATTTAGGAGTGGAACCATCACTACCATAATTTTGGGGTGGAGGGATAAGTAGAGCCAGTGGAGCCAGCTGAAGTTGCTTTGGGGCTTGGATCTGATTCATGGAATGCCAGTCAACCTGTCCTGAAAGTCAGTCTTGTATCTTTTAGCTTAGAATATAGTTTCTCAACGCTCAAGATAATTCAGCTGTGATTGCCATTTATTTATTCCAAGAGTCTGTAACAGTGACACATAATTGGGTGCTTTGCAATAGACCAGCAAGAATTTCTGGTACTTGACTGTTTAACAATAGCAATAGAATAAGTCCTTCGAAAAATATATATGGCAAAGGCAGGCAACCAAGAACTGAACTTTTTGTGGAGGGATTGTGAGCTCCGTTCAGTTCTGGTGCTCAAAAGCTGCAAACAAAATTAATTCTTGGGCTCAGAATTCTTTCATACTAATCTCAGTTTGCATGTAATCATAATCCAGTGTGGAAGAGCTGGTGCAGTGTAGTAGTTAGCCAAGAAGACTGGAACTCAGGCAATATGGATTCTAGTCCCCACTCTGCCATGGAACGAACTGGTGACTGGTTGTTTTGTTTAAACTATGAAGGCTCAGGGTCAAATGGCAGCAAACACACTGCTTCTGGTATGCTCATCACTTCTGCTTTCAATCCACAGTTTTTATTGTGTCATCCAACTGTAACCTAGTTTGTTAGGTTAATTGTGGATTGTTTAATTTCCCAGAGTTCCAGGTTCAGATACTCTTCTCAGCTCTGACAAGTCCTCTAACAAACCAGATCTATTTGTATGCTTCTTGAACCTGGCTTTGGCTGGTGGATCTCAGGGTTCCAATTAAGAAAAAACCCTAAGTAGATCCCACAAGACTGAAGTCTGCCCACCTGTTCTATAAGAATATAGACACTTCTCCACATGCTGCTTTGAATTATCCTATTGGGTGAGGAAAAGAATTATGCATAATGGAAAGATGGACCTACAAAATAAAGGATATGAATGAAATAAAAGTTGCCTTTTTCCTGTAAAAAAGGTTGAAAGCACCTGGCAAATCAGAATATATGACTAATTGACTATATTTGTCTTGGTGGGACTCACATTGTGCTCTGAACAAGCTTCAGTTTGAGTCTTGATGTATTGATTTTAATTTGGGCCAATATGGTAAATATCTGGCCATAATCATCTTGCTTAAAACAATCAATCCATTAACAGTCTGCTAACAACTGTTCATTTGTTTCTTTTTCCTTCTTAGGTGCTTAAATGCCTTTTTAAGATAATGCAGACAGACCCACTCTGCAAAATAAAGGCTCTGGCTATCAGAGGTATTGTACAACCTGAAAGCCTGACATTTTCCACTTGTATCTTTTCCCAACTCACAAATAATTTTAGGGCATTGTCTGAGAAGCTCAAGAGCCATTTCCTGAAAATTCTGATTCACGTTTGTGGAGATTTTAATTGTTGGAATTGGTATTACTTCATTTACAGAACTAATTCTGAAATATTTCAGTAGTCCCAACCCCTTTACAGGTTAAACTGCATATGAAATAGAGAATATCTTGCAAAATATGAGAATTAGATTAACAATGTGATCCTACACATGCTCCCTTAGAAGTCCCACTGAGTTCAACAGGGCTTACTCCCAAGTAAGTGTGCTTCAAATTGCATTTTTATTGTTTGTTTATTGTGGGTTGGATCCAGGCTTCATCATGCTTAGAGTTGACCTATTGAATCAATGGGACAGAGGTATGACTAAATTTGGATCCAACCTTGTAAGGCTAAAACCTTCTGGATGCATTATAACCTCTTCTAGTAAGTTTGGTTTACTAGGCTAATTATCTGAGAGCCATTCTGAACTGTGATCAGGCCATTGCTATCCCCACTAGTCATTATAAGAACTTTGTAACATTATGAGTTGATGTTTGTTTGTTTCCTCTTCCTGCCCAGTCCTCTTTTCCTTTTGTGTCATATATTTTAAACTTAAAGACTGATGACAGGGGCTGTCTTTTTTTTTTTTTTTTTTGGATTGACTTGATATCTGATCTGGGAGCCTTCTTGGTGGAAGAATAAAAAAGTTTGCATTCATCCAATAAATAATTACAATTCTTTGCATGTATATAGCATTCAAAGCATTAAAAGTATGTGGCACGTCACATACATTGCTTTGCTAGGCCTTAGAACAGCCCTGTAAGACAAGCAGTAGCACCTTCTATGGATCAAAGCCTAATGATCACAGCAGAACCTCTTCCCTAAGACCATATTTTTAGTCAATGACTAATACGATTCCTACCAGGTACTACTTAGATCATATTTTTAAGACAAGAGTGCACATGACATTAAATGTGGCTTTTTCATTTAAGTCGCAAATATTTTAAAAATACAAAAATACATTTTGCAAGGCAGCAATGGGAAATACTCTCCCACTACAAACAGATTTTCTTTAGGATCATAGTTGGGGAGAAAGGTGTTAAACTCCTTTTCCTTTACTGCTATGACTTCGATAATTAGCACCAGCAAGTATTATTTGCATTCTGAGAATGTGCATGTTAAATGCTAATACACTTTTAATGTCAATCCTAGTATGGCTCCTAGCTGGTATATTGAACCATGCTGGTATTCTGCTAACTGGAGTAATTCTCTCTTGTACATGCTACAGTAGTGTCTCCTTGCCTCCAAAATTCCATGTTAAAGCATGTTTTGGATCCTAACACTCTTCTGGGGTACACATACTGCTTCTTGATTTATCACTATGCCAAACTTTGTATGCCCAAGGGTGCAACTTTAGTCCATAACTGCACAACAAAATCAACTGCAGCTTGATTTCCCAAGTATGAGAACGACAAAAACACCAAACCTACTTGTATCTGCCAGTGATAGTTTTGGATATAATCAGTTTTGTATATTAAAGGATGAATGATGCTGGGAAGGTTGCAAAAGAAGCCTTTCCACAAAAAAAGTACCTGTGCCCCTTTCGCTTCAAGGAAAGGTATCATTTCATTTCCAGATGTAGAATGTGCAACTGTAGGTGTTCTGTTCCTATAGCTGGCAAATACTGCACCTGTGGGTTCAAGTGGCACATCTCCCTGGCACAAGTGTTGAAATTAATGCCGTTTTATTTTCTGGAAGCTCTGGGTCAGATCGGTGAGGCAAGCCCCTACTTAAAAGATCTGCTTCTTTGGGCCCTTCACTATGAAGAAGACCCTGGGGTACGAAGGGAAGCCTGTCGTAGTATCATCATTCTCAAGATGCAGGATGAAACCGTTCGGGCTACCTTACTGGAAAGAATGATATTGGAGCCAAATGAGCTTGTCAGAGAGTAAGTCACTGTTTTCCCCCCTTTTCCTGGGACATCTGGGAGGATGTGAGGTTCATTTCTACATAGCACATTTATCTCTTCTAAAATTGCACTTTAAGCTTTAAATTTTTGAAGAGAATTCTGAGTCTGCAGTCCTGAAATATAAATGCTGCTTGCCATATCAGTGAGTTCACTGGAACACTCCCCCATGGTAGCCAAACACATCCCCAACCACACTTTCACTGAGCGTAAAATCAAGGCACATGTACATAGCACTGCTCCATGCAAGGGGAGCAACTGGACCAGTCAAAATCCCACTTTGTGTGAAATAATTTCAAGCATACATATCAGTATGTACATAGGGGCCACTCTTACATTAGCCAAATGCATTGCTGGCAGAGTATAGCCACCATGGCTCTGCAGCTTCTTCGTGCATTGTTTCTAAGATGTAAAGGTTTTTGACTGACTTCCTTCCCACCCATTAAATGTGCAGAATCTTGCTTAAAAATAACAGTCCAACATGGTCTATGGGGCAGTCTAGAAATGTTATAAAATAAACAAACATATGCTCCAGCTGTGCCTAGTAGATATGGACCCTTTTCCCACAAAGAGTATAGCCTAGAAGAATGCAGCTTGTCCCAGTTGCTGCTGGTCCTGATAGAGAACAAGCCGTGCAGCCTTTCTCTGCTGTGATCAGCAGCAAGTAGCCTCTGTGAGCTGGTTGGGCACTTTGCAGCAACTGTCATTTCCATTCTGTTCCCGTCAATGTTCCTGTGTTGTCCCCTGGGATACCAGCAGACATCCTCTGTGCCCAGCCTGGGACACACAAGCCACACTGTGTAGCTCTTTAGGCAGTGTGGCTTGTTGTATTATGTGAAACTACCCATTCTATACTCTCTCCAAATTGCATGTGAAAAGTATAATAAAAATAAATTTCCATTAATATTGAGCCTTCAATTGACTTTGGATAATTCATGCATATATTGATGGTGATCTGATGTTTTACAGACCAAAATGATTCTGTATATTATGAGTTTTCCATGGTAAATGTAATTTTGCTTAAGACTCAAGCTGAGCTTTAAGAATATTTGCATCCTTCTTTCAAGAGTAACTTGGGAGCCAAAAGTTCCAGTTCTCAACTTATTTAGATGGACCTGAAAGTTTCATTGGAATACAAAATCACTTCTAATAAGATCAACAAAAACTGGTGGCCTCAAATCTGCCTCATTCCTCATACCCCTCTTCTACACATTCTCATGTTCCTTCCCAATGCACAAATGATTCATTGATGCAGAATTGTAAGCAACTGTCACTTCAACAGCTTCTGATAATTTTTACCTCCTACCATGTCTAATAATGTTATTCTACCAATTGCTGAATAAGCCAAACAAATCACAGGACTGGACAGTTGAGTGCAGTGGTGACCTTCACCTGTCTAAACTAAGCCCCACACAAGATCTACTGGAGCAATATACATCCCTTCCTCTTACGTTCTGTAAAAGGATGTTTGCATGGCAAACAGAAGCTCAAGTGTTCCCTCCACCAACATCTTATGTGACATTTCTGAAGCTCATTGGGAGTATGGAGGAAAATGAAAATATGAGTATCTTCAAATAAACCAGAGGTCTAAGATTAGCCTTCTCCAACTAGGTTCCTCCAGTTGTTTTGGACTAAAGCTCCCATCAGACCTAGCGAGCAGGCCCATGGTTGACAATGATGAGAATTGTAATTCCAAACATCTAGAGGGTACAAAGTTGGGGAAGGCTGGTTTAGAGGGAGGCTTTTCTTGCTGGGAAAGGAGAAAAAAACATACAGTGCTGAATTGGCATGCGGCACTTCTTAAATTATTGCAAGCTACCCCAGATTACAGGGCAGAATTAGCCAACTTCTTTGCAACAGCATGCCAGTTACATGCCATCTGTAATGTTCAATGCAGGGAGGTGAGTCGTGCTGTGACAACTTTCAATTTTGAACAGGAAGAGGAACAAGAAATGATCCAGAAGATCAAAGACAAGGTGAAAAAATTCATGATCGGATTTTTTCTGGGTCAAGATTGAACTCAACTTTTTGTAGCACATCAGTCTTAAGACACTAAAGTGCACCAGTCCTGTCCCTGGTGCCTATGCTTTGGAACATTTAAAATAGGTTTATCATATGTAAAAGATTCCTAGAGGGGGTAATGAAACTGCACTTAAGATGGTTTTAGATGGGAATTCACCAAAGTGTCAAAGCAACTGTTAGGTGAAGGCTTGAGCTTATACACTTAGATGTGACTTAGAAGGCTTTGATATTAATCACATGTTAATAACTTGGATTTAGTTGTCAAGGTTTTCTGCAGTCCAACTCATACTTTTCTTGATTTTTCACATCATGGACTTCTGTGACCATTTTATTGTAGATGTTATGCTTTTAACAAGTAACTGAAGCTGAGGTAATGCAGGCCTATGTAGTGCTTAATTTTCTCTATAAACCAAAAGGAGTAAAGTAGTTAAAGGATTCAGAGTTGTCAAAGATCAAAATCAGATCACTTAGCAGTCCACTCCTCAAATACATTTACCCTAACTCTGTCCTTGGGTTGCACATTCTTCTGATTAAATAGAATCTATATTTGTGAACTAAATACTTAAAAGTCTAGTGATAAATGGAAACATAAATATATACTATTTCTGCTGCAGATTGCCACGTTAAGCCAAAAAGACTTGGTGATTAAGAAACTGCTGAAACTCCAAGAGATAACAGAAAACACATGGCATGAAGCCCATCGCATCTACCGGGAAAAGGGAGATACCTTTGCATACAGAGAGATACAGGACATCTTCTTTGCTGCTGTTCAAGCTCCTTTCACCGGTAATTCAGAGTGGCAGAAATGGGGCTTGGTGGAATTCTAGCTTTTGTTTTAGTATTTTCCATGTTTCAGAGGACCCACAATACAGCTTTAAAAGCTCCTTTATTAACAAGATTTATATGCTACTAATTTGAAGCAATTACTTAGCTTCACAGAATATAGAAGCAAGGCTTTTGAAATCGAGATTTCCAAAGAACTGCATTAATTGAATTATATATCACTTCTAAGAATTGCTCTGTTTTTAAAAGCTTCAGTAAGACATGTAGGATCATCAAGAGTGTAAGGCATTTCTAGCAGAGTTATGTAATGAAAATGTTAACTGATAATCTTTCTGTGAATATAGGTCTATCAGATACAAATCTTTTACATATTTTAATTTCTAATCAAATATCCCAATTTAGACATTTATTTTCATAAATATATTTAAATCTGGAATTCCTATTTCAGTCAAGGGAAAAGTCTGATATTTATGCTTCATGAAAATGTTATTGGAATCAATTTTTTCAACACCTTCAGCTAAAAGAAAAAGTTTTTCAAAGTAATAGGGTAGTAATAGCGTACACTGTGCTGTCAACATTTTACTATGCATGTGGTGTTACAGTCTTTCTTTTTAAAGCTAGACTAAAATATATATCTGCTTGTCTGTCCAGTGCAAACTCACTGTCCAAGCAGGAAGTTCTCGAAGTTACGGTCTGCTATCTTAAAGTTATTAGTAAGTATCAGAGAAGAGCATTCTTTCTCAAAATGTATTTATTTTGACTGTATCTGGCATACTAGATAGACAACAGAGGGTTCTTAGTAATCAACAGTCCCTTCTCAAATAAGACAGTTGCCAAGGCAATTTTATCATCCAAAGTAGCACAGGGAAGATCTTCCACACTGACATACTTGGGATAAGAAGAGAGCAAAAGTTCAATACTATCTATATATTCAGGCTCTATTTCACAGTACTTGGACGACTCCTTGTGGTACACCCTTGAGTTTTCTGTGGTGTAATACAGGAACATGCCATCTCGTTCATTACACAGTCTGACAATTCCATACCGAAGCAGCCGTACCTGTGTTTTTTCCTTGATTTGGACATCAACATTTTGGACATTTCCATTCTCCCACCGTGCTGGATGACCATATATACTCAATGCCTTTTCATTTTCAGTGAACACTGGAGGAAGGCAGTCATGGAGAAAAGCCTTTGCTCTTTGATCGACCGCAGCATCAACTGGTGCATAATCCATGAGTTTTGTTATTAAGGCACTCACCTTTTGCATAAAGGCAACTCGGCGGGGATCAGCAGCATCTGAATTCACAATGCCCATATATTCCAGGTAGTCAACAGGGAGGCCTTGACGATATTCCACATCCTCTTCAATGGCCATCTGCAATGCTGCAGGCAGGAGCTTTTCCAATAGGTCTCCCCATGAGTTGCGCTGATATGAAGAAACTGTTATATGGAGTGAATGTGCATCTGGGAGGCAGTCCCCCTGATGGATAAATCCACGGGGAAAATAGAGCAGGTCCCCAGCTTCCAAGACAGTCTCTAGAATGGGCTCTCCAATCTCTGTTTGATTAAAGTTGTGACTTGAAAGCTGAGGCAATACTTCAGCTGCATTCCTAGGACTGTAAATCCGCCAGTGCTTCTTTCCTTCCAACTGGATGACAAAAGCTTCAATGTCGTCATAATGAGGAGCAAAGCCCTGTGTTCCGGCAGGGGTCAAATATGTGTTGGCCCCAACCATGCTGTTGAACTGCTCCTGTAGGATGGAGAGGAAGTGCCAGACTGTAGAAGAAAAGGCCTGGGGGTTCAGCATCCGGAGAGAACACCCATTCTTGTAGAAATCCCACACCACAGCTGGCATGGCCCGGCCCACTGGATTATGTGTCTCCCTCTTTCCATCTTCATAGCTGGTCACGTCCAAATTGACACCAAACTGAACATCTTGGTCACGAAGGATGGCATCTAACTCAGCTGTGGAGAAGAGGTCCTGGTAGTAGCCTGGGCTGTGTCTGTGGATAAGCAAGGGCTTTTTCTCCCAGTAATGGCCGAAGAATTGCTGCAGGGAAATAGGAGCAATGAGCCACTCCAACAGTTGGGCTGCCCGCTGCCGGCTATGCGGGACGTTTGCCAGGTCTCGGAGAAGCTGCCGGAGTGAGCGGCCCGGAGGACGAAGCTGAGCAGAGCGCTTAGTGGGTGTCGCGCTTTCCCCATGCAGAGCGCCGGCAGTCGCTGGGAGCTTTCCGTTTGCCTGACCACGCTCACGCTTCCCACGCTTCCCCAGGCCCATCTTCCGGCCCTGCAAGGGCGCCACATACTTGGCTCCCGCCTTAATCCGCGCTTTCTTTATTAGCTTCTCCGGGGTACCCCGGAGGGGACGGTCGTGGCTACTAGGCTGCTCTGCATCACCGCCTCCCGGAGATACTAGCCTGTCCCCGGCTGCTGCGCTCTTCGCGGACCGCTTTTTGATCCTCCGGCGTTTTGCGGAGGCAGACAGGCCGTGTGTCGGACGGGGTGGCTGTTCCCGTTCCCGAAGCTGCCCGGCTGAACGATAAGCCGAAAGAGCAGACACGCGCGAACTCGGCAGCTCCATGCCTGGCCTCGGAACGAGGAAACCCGTCTGCGCGTGTCCCGCGTGGCACCGACTGCTTCCGCCTCGGTTTGCACGCTAAGTTTGCCCTTCCGGTGCGCGTTGTGGTGGCGAGCGGGAGGCTTGCGCATTTCTGGCTTCATCCGGTGGTCCCAGAGGAATAGTCGATGGAGCTGATCTAGGTCTGCGCAGGCACCCGCGTCCCGATCAGCTTTTCTGGTGTAAACCACGAACGGATTTCTTTCCCTGCCCCTGTGTAATTTGCAGGATGTAGGAAACCGCTCTGCGTCTATAGGGGTTGGCGGTCGACGGCAGCTTTCTTTTTCATCTGGCGTGTAAGCTTTATGGGGACTCATCTAGTCGTCCTCTGAGAGGCCACGGCCGAGCTGGTTGTGGCGGCCTGCAATCCTAAGCGTGTTTACCTAGAAGAGATTTTCACTGAATTCGGTGAGACTTCTGAGGAAACATGCATACACTTGGGCGTGTATACTTCTGTAGAAGTACTGTAGGACTCAGGATGGCTTACTTGTGAGTAACACATGCGTAGGGGCTTAAACACTGTTAAACTTGGGCAGCCGGCTCAGACCTCTGCAAAACCTCATCCAATTTACAGCAAGTTTCAAGACGAGTAATCCATTAAAATACCTTGTAGAGGGATAGTCTGTCGCATCAAACACTTTTGTGGCATCTTGTAACAGGCATTTATTTCTGCATAAACTTGTGTGGTCACTGTCCACTTCATCAGATGGTCCTATTTAACAAATTAGTTTTAGGGAGTTCCACAGAACCCTTCAGGCAGAATGAAAAATTAGCTTATTCTAAATGTGACAGTGTTACATAAATGCAGTAGCATTAAGGGGTGCCATAGACAATTACTCTTAATCTAAACAATCATTTCTGTCAGGCATTTTCAAGACTTCCCTTGAAGAAGTGAATTGCAGAGTGCAATCCTATTTAGGAGTAAGCCGCATCAGATGGGACTTACTCTCCAATTGCGGATTTAGATTACAACAGAACAGGCACTTATCCATAAATCACTTAAAACACTGTCAGTGTTCAAGTGAGCTTATTCCCAAGTAAATTATGTGTTGGCCTGTCACTTAATCCACCAATTCCAGTCTTGAATTTGCAGAAGCTGAGCAAGGCTGTCATGGATAGGACATTTTGGAGGGCTTTCATTCATAGGGTCACCATAAGAACCAGTGTGGTGTAGTGATTAAGAGTGTGGGATTGGGACTTAGGAGATCTGGGTTCTAGTCTCCATTCAACCATGGAGCTCACTACGAGTCAGTCACCGACTCAGTCTGACCTACCCCACAGGATGGTTGTGAGGGTAAGATTGAGAGGAGAATTGAGTAAGCTCTCTTGAGTTCCTTGAAAGGAAAAAAGATGGAATTTAAATGTAATAAATACAAAAGGTCAAAGATGGCTTGACAGCACATAACAAAAAAACCCCTTAGGTGTAAATAAAGTAGAAACATGCTGTGCATCCTTTTCCATTTAGACAACAAGGAGAAGTGTCCTAAAGTTGATTTTCATATTATTTCAGTTGAACAGCCTGACTAATCTTGGTACAGGCATGCAGTTACAATAATTGGACAATAACAGCTAAGATTTACACAGTGTACCAGCTTAAATGGTTTTGTAGATTTCACTGTTAATGTGAGTTAAGTAATCAAATGTGAAAGTAACCAATGCTAAAGTAATTAAGAAATATTTACAGTTAGAGGTCATTTACACAATTATACAGAAACGGACAGCAGATTATGAGGGGGAGAAAAGGCATAATTTGTTCAAGGATTATTTGCAAAGATGTAGTAGTAGTAGTGAGTGGGTCTATGTATATTTTTCAATTCTCTCAAATCAAGTTTTTCTTCCTGGTTGCATTCTAGCCATGGTTAGGAATCTCACCAAACCCATGGACACAAAAAGCCTTCCTAGGAGCACAGGAAATACACAATGCTGAGAAACAGAAAGGTTCCACAAAACCAAAAATACTGACAGAGAAGCAGAAAGATTTCAGTGTCATCAAGAAGAGTGAAGAAACAACCGCCACTGTTCATTTTGTGCCATAGCTAAGGTTCTGGCCACTCTTCTAAGGTTTCATACAAATTATAGTTTTTCAGAGACATAAGGAATTGTAGACTTGTTCTTCATAGAACACATACTAATTTATGTGTGTCCCACTGTGTGCTGAGTTCCAAGTTATATTGTGAGATGGGAGAACTACATGTAGAATGTTACCAGCAGTCCATCTGTTGGAATGCTGCTGGTAATACTTCTGCAATAGATTTGTAGCTGTCATGGATGTTAATTACTGGATAGTACCTATGTAGAGTAGCACACTACTCCATGATACATAAAGTGGTTCTGGAAGTGTTAAAGTAAAAAATACTATGTTTTGTGTGCTCTACAGTGTATATCTAGATGTGTTTATGTGGTATCCCTTTTGAAAGAAAAATTGTGAACAAAGCTAACATTTCTTATCAGCAATTCCACAATTTTTCTTCATGTTTAAAATTTATTTTAGGAGAGAAAAAGACTAAATCATGCATTTAGTTCCGATGTTGCTGAACTACAGCTTCTATAATCATGGAGCATTAACTATGATGGCTGAAGCTGATGGGAACTGGAGTTCATTCATACCTGAAAAACCATGGGTTCCCCATTTCTGGGGAATTATTATCAGAATTATGCCTGTAATTCTAGGCCACAGGTGAGCTATTTGTGATTTTCCAGATACTTTGGCTTACAGATCCCATCAGCCTTAGCCAGAATAGGTAATGATGAAGGATAATTAAATTTTTTGGTAAAAACATCTGGAGGACCACAAGTTGCCCACCCCTGCTCTAAACACTAGGAAATAAATCCCATTTAAATTTCTGGGAATTTCCTCTTAGAAGACATGCTTAGATTGTGCTGTAAATCACTCCTAGTGCTTCACATGTTATCTGTGTACACCCAAACTCCCATAATGGTTGTTTCTTTTGATAAATAATATGAACCAAATTGACCATATTGCAACCCAACATGAAAAAAACAGAAGAATTCATAGGCTCTATCACATGTAATTTAGATGTTTGTTCCATGAGGCTAGTGACCACTCAAAATGGAATTATATACTTGAGGGGTTTCACAGTAGCACAATAGTGTCAAGCTAGAACATAAGTTTATTTGTGCGCTCGCTCGCTCGCTCGCTCTCTCTCTCTCTCTCTCTCTCTCTCTCACACACACACACACACACACACACACACACACACACACACGAATATATCCGTTGCTATTAGAACTATTAAAAGCTTTGTTCCGGCTGGTCTGGTTTGTAGCAGAAGATATTGTATCAGGTTTAGATGATACACGCATGTTTTTCAGTAACATGCATACAGTTATAAGTAAAAATCTGTTCCTGTTGTAACTAATCTCCAACAGTTTCATTAGTATTATCAGAGTAAAACTAATTTACTTTTTGTATGCAACTAAAACAATTTTTCTTAGGACAGTGTATGATAGTGTTGTAATCCATTGGTTTGACAGCAAGTTATGAAAGCTGTAGTGCTAAAAAAGATTACTTTTCCAAACCATTTTAAACTGAAAAACAATGTTGTTTTAACGGAAGGGAATTGTATTATTGAATGAAATTGTTGATTTTATTGATTATGTCGTAAGCTGTCCAGAGAGCCCTGTTGCTAATAGGGTGGTATATAAATAAATAAATAATAAATATTCTCTACCATAGACAATCCTTGGATGATCAAACATTACATTCATGCTATGTAAGTATCCCTTGGGGTTGAAGGCTAGCATCTCAGTCCTATGTGGTCTTGTGTAAGTCAATTGATTTTATTAGCATTTAGGCATGCCTACCTGCATGGAATGATGATAGATTGCATTTATTATGTCCATGATTCTATTTTTGCCTTTTCTATTTAACCAATTCTGTGTCACAATGTCACTTTTGTCCATCCTGTTTTTCCATGAAATTCCCCTTCACACTAGGCATGGAGTAAGACAGCTTCCTCTCCATTCTTTTTTATGCCATGAAAGATTCAGTGTGATGCTAAGTAGAATGTGGACTCTGAATTTACTGTTACTGTATTTATTTACTGCCCCATAGCTGAAGCGCTCTCTGGATGGATTACAACAATCTATAAAACAGACAATAACATGCACTAAAATACCATAACATCAGAAAAACATTAAAATATAACTAAAAAAAACAATAATGAGGAATGATTTTGTAAAACACCTGGAATGGGTAATCCCCCCCATGCCCCTGGGTACTCATGTGAGTCTTTAAAGGATTTAGCATAAAGGGTATCTTTATGCTACCTTGGCACCAGCTGGGCCACAGTGGGGAGGTTGTTCCATAGATGGGGGCCATCACAGTAATAGCGTACCCCTCAGTTGACACTCTTTACCCTTCCCTCAGAATTGGTGTTCAGAGCAAGGCAGGCTCCAGAAGTTGAGCATAATGTCCATGCTGACTCTTTAAGGGAGCACTGCTTTTTGCAAAGAGGCAAACTCCCTGGCCCAACTGGTTATTCCTTCCTTACTGGACTTTATAAGCCAGGAAGAGCAAGGATCCAGTACAGAGCTGGTTGCACAAACCTGGTCAAGCATCTTGTCAGCATTCTTGAGCTGCACCAGCTGAAGCTCATCCAATAAAACTGGACCAGGCCGTGCTCTGGATATCTTCATAGATTCAACTCCTTTACTGCTATGTTCCAGTGGAAGCAAGAGCGTTTTTCCTGGAAGTGCCCAGTGAGGAAATTACAGCAAGTCTGAGATGATTTTAAGATATTCCAGGGGCCAGAATGTAATAAGGCCTGGACAACTTTGAAAAGCAATAATGTAATCAGGACTGAACAGAAAACATTATTTGGAGATAGATATATGAAGCTTGATTTTTTAAACAATGTTTTCTGGCTCTGGAAACATGACAAGTACTTGACTATGCCTTCTTTCTAAATATGAGTACTTTTTAGAATGGTGGGATAGCAATCCCAGAAATTTATTTAAAATATTAGAGTCTGATTACCTGTTTTCCTCCCATGAAGAACTCCCTCTCTCTACCCTCACCTTTTACAAAGGCTTTATGAAGTTCCATGAGAACTGCATGGAACTAAATAAATAAAAGGCTCTAGCCAGGAACCAATGTATTTTTTTAAATCACCAAACACATCTGTAACAGCTGAAATAGCCTATGAACTATACTATTAATGCCAAGACAGGAAAGAATCAGAAATGATCTGAAGGCATTGCTAGAGACATGACTGTTATTTGTGACCAAGTTCAAGAGCCTACAGTGTTCAATAACTGCTGTTTTGAATTTATTTATGGCCAGCAATTCTATTTGGTGCAAGTGTGTTACAAACTACCCAGCGAGGTTAGTTCCTAGATTCAGCTAGAAATGTACAGTATATCACAGAAGTGAGAACACCCCTCACATTTTGTAAATATTTTATTATATCTTTTCATGTGACAACCCTGAAGAAATGACACTTTGCTACAATGTAAAGTAGTGAGTATACAGCCTGTATAACTGTAAATTTGCTATCCCCTCAAAATAACTCAACACACAGCCATTAATGTCTAAACCGCTGGCAACAAAAGTGAGTACGCCCCTAAGTGAAACTGTCCAAATTGGGCCCTAAGTGGCAATATTTTGTGTGGCCACCATTATTTTCCAGCACCACCTTAACCCTCTTGGGCATGGAGTTCACCAGAGCTTCACAGGTTGCCACTGGAGTCCTTTTCCACTCCTCCAGGACGACATCACAGAGCTGGTGGATGTTAAAGATGTTGTGCTCCTCCACCTTCTGTTTCAGGATGCCCCACAGATGCTCGATAGGGTTTAGGTCTGGAGACATGCTTGGCCAGTCCATCACCTTTACCCTTAGCTTCTTTAGCAAGGCAGTGGTTTTCTTGGAGGTGTGTTTGGGGTTCTTACCATGTTGGAATACTGCCCTATGGCCCATTCTCCGAAGGGAGGGGATCATGCTCTGCTTCAGTATGTCACAGTACATGTTGGCATTCATGGTTCCCTCAATGAACTGTAGCTCCCCAGTGCCGGCAGCACTCACGCAGCCCCAGACCATGACACTCCCACCACCATGCTTGACTTAGGCAAGACACACTTGTCTTTGTACTCCTCACCTGGTTGTTGCCACACACGCTTGACACTATCTGAACCAAATAAGTTTATCTTGGTCTCATCAGACCACAGGACATGGTTCCAGTAATCCATGTCCTTAGTCTGCTTGTCTTCAGCAAACTGTTTGCGGGCTTTCTTGTGCATCATCGTTAGAAGAGGCTTCCTTCTGGGACGACAGCCCTTCAGACCAATTTGATGCAGTGTGCGGCGTATGGTCTGAGCACTGACAGGCTGACCCACCACCCCTTCAACTTCTGCAGCAATGCTGGCAATTTTTTTCAGCAATTTTAAAAGAATTAAATAGCGAACTATGCATAGTTATCTGCAGAAGATATTAATAGCATACAGGATTCATCCAACAGGAAGCTATGGTCTGCAGGAAATTTTTCTAATATACTAATGGGGCAAAATTATTCTGAATTAGAAAGAAGAAAAAGAATGCCAGATGACCATCTCAGGAAGTATTCACTGTTTAATTCTGCTTCACAAATCAGTTAAGACAGGATCTATATATTTAAGTCAACGTGAGACATGCTGTCCAATCTCATGCAGAGCTAGAAGTGTCTAAGCCCATTGATTTTTAATTGGCTTGGGCACACCTCACTGCATGGGATCAAGCTATACATTGGCTTAAATCTTGGTACCCCAGCTTCCCTGATCTGTGCTTTATCTTGTACATAGGGCATTTGTTACTGGATCATTTTCCTGGAAGTATTCTTGTTCCTAAAACACAGGCTGGAGGTAACTAAACATGAACAAGAATTCCATGTAGAGATGGCACAGCTATATTGCCAAAGAAGGGATCCTGTGTGGATAAGTTACTTCTTTGCTCATCTTAATACCATTGTAGGAATGGCTTATCACTAGGTGGCAGTGCAGGGTAGCCCAAAGTTTCATTTATCGCGTTCTTGTTTTTCAAGCTTGGC